GAGTAAAAACAAGATGTAGAAAGAAGAAAAAAAACACTGTCAAAAAGATAAGGCACTCGTTTAATGACCGAATTCCATTCCTGCAACTAGGCTGTTAACTGAGTGGGCCACTAAATGAGGAATTGTATATATATGTATATGAGAATACTCAGAACAAAGGAAACTCCAACTTGCTGACTTTGCTTTTATTTGTATAGCTCTTACATGCAGTACTCTAATGTATAATAACATAAAACTACAGTACTGTACAGTACAACCAATAAAATACACTGCTGTATAAACAAATGTACTTTACAATAAAATGACATTGAGGCTGTATAAATAGGGTGTAGAGAACTGTATAAAAAAAGATGGATCGCAAGTCATAAGTCCGAACAGCATGCTTCGGTATAAGTCTATGAAATGGATGGGTTGTTAAACAAGGAGAATCTATTAGACACCATATTATCAGAGTAGTTCAATGAAAATGATTTGTTTTTCTTAACATATGCTCTCCAATAACCTTTAAAATGAAATTTTACAGCAGCCACCAATAAATCATCACATCGGCTGGGTTCAGGCAATATTAATCCCTCACATGTCAAAAAAGATGGGGGTGAATATTGTTCAGAAAATCCAGGATATCTTATGATATAGCAATGATATAGAAAGTGCTTATTAATGATCATGATTGCAAAATAGATGCAATCCCAATAAGATCTTTAGCAAATCAATAAAGCTTCTATTCCTGTATTTCCTCACATGCCCTTTCCTGGCATCTTAGCAACTTCCATGAATTTTTGAAGGTTACATTGATCACACAGTTAATATTACTAGAAGCTGTGTTTTGAATGTACATTTGGGGCTCATTGCAAGGAACCAGTGAAACTAAAATACTACTAATAAGATATCACAGGACCGCGAACCTGCTTGACTCTGTAAAATTCATTGGAAATGCCAGATATCCTTGACAGTGAGACTGGCATTCATGGAGCCACTGTCCACCTCTGTAACAAACTCCATGGAGGATAGGAAGACAGATAAAGTATGTAGTAAAGGAGCTGACCAGCCAGGAGCGTAAGACAAAAATTAAACACAAAACAATCACAGAGCCAAGAATAACAGTGATAATTGTTGAATTATTTCCTGTGGTTTGGAAGTGTGTGTATACCCTTTGAGAAAATATGTACACCCAGATATGAGGCATTTCTACATATCAAGTTTCCAAGGTAATATCTCTTCGAAAGAGTTTATTTATATCTGAGAATTTCTTTACCTCCAAATGAATCAGTTTATCATCCAAGGTGCTGTTAGAAGCAAATAGTCCTTAGAAGTAAGCCAAATAAAGAATGCACTGATAAGTGTCTGACCCTTTGCCACAGCTGTTCTGCCTGTATTATATGTGACCAACAAGTCTCATAAGACTGTGCTCCAAATCACTCCTTCTGCATCAAAACAGGCAAACCTTATATATTGTGGATATTGAAGCAGAACAAGCAACCTCAATGTCCAAAAAGAGGTAGCTTATTTTTCCCAGTATCAGACATTACAGAAATAATACATATTTGGAAGACATTTATCTCATCATGAATACTGCGTAAGCCAGGCATGGTAGCATGTGCATGTAATCCCAGCACTCAGGAGGTAGAGGCAGGAGGATCATTGCGAGTTCGAGGCCAGCCTGGACTACAAAGTGAGCTCAAGGCCAGCCTGAACTCCATAGTGAGACCCTGTCTCAGAAGGACAAAAAAAAAAAATAATGTGTGTATTTGTACAAAATGTTTAGTGTATGTGCCTAAAATACAATAGGCTACAGCTGTTCCTTGTTTGACCACCAATTCTTGTCTTGTGACTAGGTCATTAACTGAATTGGTCTCTAAATGAGGAATTATATGTATCAAGTATGTATGTTAAAATATTCAGAAGGTGAAGGGAAATTCCAACTTGATGATTTTGCTTTTATTTGCCTAAATCTTACTGCATGCAGTACTGTAATGTGTAACAGAACATAATACAGTGCTGTACTATACAGTACAATCAGCAGAAACTACAGTACTAAATAAACAGGGTGTAGTGTACAAACAAAAGACACTGAAGGTCTATTAAAAAATGTACAAAACCACACATAAAATAAAAGATTGTAAGTCCCAACCATATGCCTTTAGTTGTAAGCCCATTCATTAACCAGGTAGGTTGTTAAGGAATATCTATCTGTACAAGCAAAAGAAGACCCAACACACTTAAAATTGAGTGAAGAATAAAAATCAGTACAATACAACTAAACCATAATCTATCTCAGAAATAATAGGAAAACTGAAATCTCAGATGTTTCTTTCTGAGGGGAAATCATATTACTAATAAAGGAAAATTAGCTTACATCACATTCCTTAAGAACAACATTCAAAGGAATGCCACTGTAGAGCATTATTTTTGAAATCCAAAGTTCAGTCTTGCCAGCCTGTTCTCCAAGTATCAGATAGTTTGAACCTGCAAAAATTTAGAAAATACAGAGTGTAAATTCACATCTTTTTTTTTTTTTTTTTTTTTTTTTGGTTTTTCTCTGGTACCGGGAACCAAACTCATGACCTTGCGCTTGCCAGGCAGGCGCTTTTTGCCACTGAGCTAAATCCCCAGCCCCAAATTCACATCTTTAAATGTAGACCCAAGACTGAAACAGTGGTGGAGTCATGGGTGTGATTGTTGCATATTCTAACAGGGCAAATAAAAATAGAATAATTCTCTGTTTTACAGATAGTAAGTGGAAGTCATAGGGTATCATTTAAAATGGACAGACCAAATAGTAAAAAGCAGGAAGGAGATTTAGGGTTCTCTAAAGTATACACACATGCTCACGTGTGCATACACACACACACACACACACACACACACATGCATACAACCACTGGAGCAAAAAAGGCAGATCTTCCGAAGTACCAAAAGAAAATACAAAAAAAAAAAAAAAATTACCAAAAAATACCATACAGAGGGAAAAAAAAGTATGAATAATAAACTATGATTATCAAAGAACAAAGAAATTCAGACATATTAGGCTGATTTAGAAGAAATTGATTTTTAGATGGCTTCATAATGCAAAACCCAGTTCTGTGCTGTGTACAGAAGACATACGTAAAACACAGTAATTCAAAAGATAAAAATAAAGGGATACACGAAGATACAGACAAATGTAAACAGTAGGAATCACAGGTTGCTATCTTGATGGGCAAAGTAAGATCTAGGCCAAAGGTAAAAAACCACGACAGAGTATACATAAAGTATTAAAAGCCATAATTCACAGCAAAGTTAGGATATTTTTTAATATATGCACCAAATAACATCAGACACAGTACAGCAGAATTGCTATCTCGGGATACTGTATAGGCAAACGCATACAGACAACCATAGAAAAACAGGTATTTCCTATCCCAAACCTACAATAAGCAATTTCATCAAGCAGTCTTGGGATTCTCTGTGGGAAATGATGTTTAGAGACCACAGTCTATAGTAGGAGTGCATGCTTATGATGCGTTTGTCTTTGTTTCTAGGCCTTCATGGCTTGATCATTCTGTCAGTCAGTATTCTCTCCAAGAACAGATTTAATATATATCAGTATATGATATGATATATATATAAAGATTCACAAGGTAGACTTACTGTGCTTGCCTGCGGAGTCACCGTGGGAGAAGCCACAAGGGATATCTGTGCACTGGAGAGCTGAAGGAGCCAGTAAAAAGTCAGGCCTGGAGCGCACTGCAGAGTCTTGTGCAAGTCTGTATCAGGAAGGTAAAGGGTGTGACCGAAAGGCTGAAGAGCCTCACTTGGAAGGCCAAAGAGTCTGCCCTAGAGGCCTGGAGACAGATGTCCAAAGGCAATGGCAGAGACTGGAGCTCCTCCAAAGAAGCAGAAGCAAGCCTTCCTTCTTCTTCCCCTTTTTATCCCATCCAGGCTACAAGCCTATTGCTTGGTGCCGCCCAGATCCGGGGTGGGTCTTCCCTCTTCAGTCACATCCAGAACTATGCGAAGCCAGTCAGCTAGGCATTTCTTACTCCAGTTGCCAGAAGTTAACTGTCACAGTCTTTTTTTTCAAGAGAAAAGCATTAGCTCATGCCTGCGTTCCTCATTGAAGTTTATAATTATAAAAGCTTTCTTGTATCTCTTTCGTGCTAAAATTGTAGGTTCCTGGCGCTATTAGCAGAATACATTCATCTTTACCTACAGTTTCAAATTAGCAATACCAGTATTATTACTAAAAGTGTGGTTATTACAGAAAGTTTAAGACGTGTTTATTGTTCTTTCTGTCCATAGGATATTTCCTAATATGTGTGTACAAATACTGTGTTTTAAATTAACTTGCCATAATTTCTCTTTATGTGATTAAATCACCAGCTTCCTACATAGGTAGGTTCACTTGTTTCATTGTGCTTTTTACTTGTGTGATTTTATTATCTTCATTTTGAATTATTTTTGCTATATTTAGAAACATCTTTTAATAATTCAAGATAGCTAGCAAAAGTGGTTAATTTTAAGTAATCAGGAAAAAGTGTTTTATCAGGGAAATATTGCTATTCAAGAAAATTTTTTTTCCTAAAATGAGAAATTTATTATGATCAGTAGTTTATTTCTGTATCCTAACTGGAGTATATAACCTCTAAGGCAGCCCTAAAAGTGCTGCATACCACTGCCAAACATACAATTTCTAAGTATTACTTCTGAGGTTTTACATCAGTATTTTCTAAGCCTTTTAACTGTCATGAAAACTTCGTATGAAACTTATCTAAGTCCCTTTTAGGGCCCAAATTATATAGATAGTTGCTCATCTACTCTGCAAATGTGAAATAAAATCTTTTGTGTACATTTTTATGCTAATAAAAAAAATATACCCTGGCTTGAAATGTGCTAAAGACTTTAAATGATTGTTTTGAGTTACGAAAGTCTGTTGCAGCAAAATGTAGGACTGTAGCTACTACATCTCACTTTGAGAGGCTGAATCCTAAAGTGTATAATTTTGTGATTTCTCTTTTCAGAGGCTGATAAAATACCAGTGATGCGTGGACAGTGGTTTATTGATGGTACTTGGCAACCTCTAGAAGAAGAAGAAAGTAATTTAATTGAGCAAGAACATCTCAGTTGTTTTAAAGGTCGGCAGCTGCAGGAAAATTTTGATATTGAAATGTCAAAATCCATAGATGGAAAAGATGGTAAGACTAATTGATACATCTATTCTGTAAACAAAGTAAAATTATTGATAGAGTTGAGTTCTTAAGTGTGATAATGGTAATTGAGAAGGATTAGAATTCATAAAATTTGAATATGTATTTATTTAAAGTGCTAGGAGATAGAACCCAGGGCTTTATACATGGTAGACAAGTGCTCTGCCACTGAACTATATCCCCAGCCCTAAAATTTGATTTTTGAAAATATTAAATAATTATTCTAGAACTTAAAACTGTCTAGATTTTTATTTTGCTTAATATGTGTGTTCCATTGCATGATACTAACACAATTTATTATTAATGCACAAATATATTGTAGTCCCTGAATTAGTCTTTTGGGCAGTTTAATAATTACCAAAGGAAATTGATCTTACCAAAAATTTTCTGAACAAAAATTCTCTATTGTTATATCAATAGAACTATTTTGTTAATGTTTTAATGTTGCTGCTTTTCCCAAAATTAAAAAATTCTAATTGCCTTTGTGTATTTCTTAGCTATTTTCCTGAGGATAATAATGTTTCTAATTTGAAACAGTCTTTTTACATTTCCTTATTCAGCATTTGAATATGTTTGCTGTAGTTAAAAATATTATATAATTGCCATGTTTTCATTATGTGTCTGAGTAAAATTCAAAATATGTGGTAAAGTTAAAAATACTTCTATTGTTCCATTTACTGCAGGCAGTGGGATCAACTATTCTGGTGAGTACAAAATGTACAGGTAGATTCGAATGTATAGATACTGCTTTAAAATTTTTTTAATCAAAAAGCGTTTCTTCGTCCATGCTTGCCTTTATTTGGGAGGTTCTTGGCAAGCCCCGCTGAGCCTACTGAATTAAAATTCGTGCTGAGTGACTTTTTTCCTTCCTCTCGTAAAATATTTCTAAGGCAGAAAATAATATTGATCAGATAACTTACAGAATGCACCTTGAAAATACAAATTATGCGGTTGGAAGTAATTGTTTATATAACATCTAATGGCAAAACAAGCTTTATATTAGCTGAAGATTTTCTTCTTATTTTAAGTAAGCCTCTATTTTTTCTCCCTTTTCTGCTTTTTACTATCCTTATCTTTCTCTGAACATACATATGTATACATTGGTCACAAGCAAGCAAGAATTTCCTTATATCAAATTAAAATATCTTTTGCATCTACTTGGTTAAAAGCCTGTATAACTGAAGAAAGTTGTGACTTTTGAGTAAACGGGCAGTTAAATATAACATTTATGTAGTAATATTTGTCTATTGTGTGATTTTAAATATAATCTCTCATTTTTCTAATCCATAGAGTCAAGTGTGTCCTTATTTCACTGTAAAATTTGCCATGAACATTTTACTTGTTAATGCATATTCAAAGCAGTTCGGGATAAGAGCTACATGACTGCAGTTTGCCATAGAAATAAACACTTTGCTTTTGTTAAGAGTAAAACTAACCAATTTTATGTAGTATCTGTGATTTTATCTTAGTGGATGAAATATTTTATAATCTCTCATCACAACTACCAGAATAATCTCAAATCCACTTCATAGTATTTGAATTATGAACTTGTATAAAATAATTTTATTGCCATTAGAGAAATCTTTTTAAAATTTTTTCCTCTTCTCTTCTACGTCTTCTGCCTTAAATATGGCAGTTCACCTTACCAAACCCAGGTTAACCACACAAATTCCGTACTGTTAGTGAATGAGAAAAATGCAAAAGCTTAGAAGAGGAAGAGGATAAATGTGTAAAATTCAGTAGATTGTTCCCCTTCTTACATACATTCAAAACATATTTCTCAACTTGCTACCTCACCCTGGTGGCAATTAATCATTAGCTCTGTCTCATCTCTGAATCCCACCTATTAGGAAATGTGTCCTTTTTACTTCTGCTCCCTAAATATTAAGTGTAAGCAGATTCTCCAATTTTTCTCAAAGTGCCCAAATTTAAATGAGTCTAAGAACCTATTTTATGTGTGTTAGGTTTTAAGTATGTCTTTGAATATGAATGTATATGTCAATTGTAGGGTGTCAGTCTAGGGTAGTAAGGTAATGTTTTAGTAATAACAGTATTAAACTCAAAACATTTTTGCCTTGTAATCTTTCGAAGCTGATTCTTTGGCGTTTCCTAGAAGAAAGTTGATTTTTTTTAATGTACTGTGATCTATACACAAAGATTCAGCATGCTTTTTTTGTTTTTGTTTCTTGAAGGTTTTTTAGGAGGGTTAGTTTTGAGACAGGGTCTTGCTGTGTAGCTCAGGCTAGCCTTGAAAACTCTATTGCTTCAATCCTGCAGCCTCAGCCTCTCCAGTGCTGGGATTACAAGTGTAAGCCACCATGCCTGACCCATGCTTTGTTATTAATAAAGATTATAAGTTAAATTCCGTTTAAATACACTGTTACAATTTTCAGTCATTTGCTGTGTATTAAGGTGTGACGTTTGACTTTGAAGATTATGGGAAATTTTGTAGTACACTTGAAAATTAGACTCGTCTGAAGAAAAGAACACCTGCCATCCCCAAAGCCACAATTTTCAATCCCAAAAAGCCAACTTTTGGGGGAAAATACCTCATATTTACAATATCTACAAAGATTAGAAATATAATCTTTTACCTCTAAGTCTCTGAAATTTTGTACTTCATTAATTTGAGAGGAAAAATAGCATTTCCAACTAAATTTTCTCATATTCAGGTGATAAAGCCTTGACTCTTCATGTTGCCTGGAGATTTTCGGTGTTTCCAAATGTAGATATTATCGTGCCTAGGCACTTTTGTGAAAGAAATAGCTTCTACCTTCAAGGAGTTTTCAACTTTAGAAGACCAAGCCAACACATAAGAATAGCTACAAAAGAATACGTATGATGGTGTTGTAGAGAGCGAATATTAAATATTCTGAAAAGATATTTGGAATAGTCAATCAGTGCATGAGAGTTATTAAAATGAGGTTTTTCTCGGAAATCCCATTTTATATAAAGTTTGTGAAAAAATAGTGTATTTAGGGACTTTTATTAAATGCTGTACAGAATTTCAAAGAAACTAAGCAACTGTTGACTAAGGAGGGGTGTTAAAATAAGTTAATTCCCATTTCACCTGATTTTATCTGTTCAGTTAGGGTAGCTAGTTCCAAAAATGGATTATGTATATTTCATGTTTTCTTACTAACCTCAAAAAGAGCATTGAATTAAAGACACTGATCAAGGTTTGGTGAAAGTTTTACTACCCACATAAATATAATTTACAAACAGACAATCCCTTTTTGTGTTTTAAGTATTTAAATCTAAGCTTAGTTATCCCTAAGCCCTAACATGAAAATTGATTCTCTCCCACCCAACGCCTGGCTAGGAGGCATTTGTCCAATAGCCTAACAAATGGAAGCCTGTTGTTTCATTTGAGGTTAGTCACACAAATAAAATCAGGCTTTCAAATACAGTTTGGTAATATCCAAGCACGTGAAGTAATTAGTTTAAAACATTGAAAGAAATAAGTTAGTAATACATATCACTCTCACCAGAAAAATACATAACCATAATTTAATAGTGAGAGAGCCTCAGACAGATTCAGCTTGAGGACCATTCTCCAACATAACCAACTAGTATTCTCAAAAAGGGTCAAGGTCATGAAAGACAAGGAAAACCAGAGATGTGTCATCGTTAGAAATGAGACATGACAGCCAGCTAAAGTATAGAATCCTGGATTGGATCCTAGAACTGAAAGCGATGAGTGGAAAAAATAGAGAAATCTGGAATTCCAACGTGGCTGATTAGAGGAGATGCATTTGGAGATCCTGGAGGCAAGCCACTGAAAACATACATGCATTCTGAACTGGGGGAGGCAGCCACACCAGAAACGGAAACCCAACCAGAAAGACGCATCCTTTAATCAAACCAAACGTCTGGGTTGTTGGAGAGGGGAAGCAGTGCCATCACTCGCCTCCTCCTGCACCCTTCAGCCAGCGCTGCCATCCCCGGAGCTGTCCTAACCATCCAAGGGAAGGAGCCAGCCCTGCAGAGGTCCCTGGGCTCTCTACCTCCAAGCTGGAGAGGAAATCAGGCTTAGGAATCAGGTACAGTTGATGAACGACCAGAGAAAAGGAAATAGCAACACGGAAGCAGACGGTCCCTCCCACCATCATCCTTCCCAACACTGGCCCACAGCCCACTGCCCAGCGTCAACAAAGGAGCCAGCCCACCTGCCTTGCGCAGAGAAAGGCTGAGCACAGCAAACTCTAGGCAGCTGGCAGAGGCCCACAGATGACATCCGAGGAGACGCGGGGGAGGCAGAGAGACTGAACAGAGCCAGTCCAGAGTGGGCGCTTTCCTGTTATTTCCCTAAACACCACCAAGAGGTGAGTCAGTAGGAAAAGCAATCTGCCACCCACAATCCTATATGGCAAGAGCCCCTCTGGAGCTCTGGAGGCAGGGATGGTGGGGATCTGAGCATGCAAGTACAGAGGGGGTCAGTGGGGCAGAAAGCATCTGGCTGTATACAAGGTGGAAGCCCTGAGAGGAAGAATGCTAAGCCGAACTCAGGTAGTTGGGTCTTAGGACAGTGACAGGCCTGCAGTCAGTCACAGCCAGAGCAGGGCTTGCAGCCAAGAGTAGGTCCAGACAGAGGGACAGTGCTCACTGCCTGCAGACTCCAGCTACAGCAGGAAGGGAATTGTATGGACCCTGGCTGTGTTGTATAGCAGCCATGTGGGGATGTTTGTGTTTTCTTGTATGTTTCTTCTGGGTTCTCTCCAGTTTCGTTTTGTTTTGTTTTTTGTTCCTTCGGGTTTTCTTCTTCTTCTTTCCTCAATATTTGCTTCTGTTGCCAGTCAGTCTGAGGTTCTTTGGCTCGATTCAGATGGAAATTGTAAGTCAGCAGCGCAGGCCTTCATCACCATAGGTCAGCTCCACCAGGTGCTGGTCTCTGCTGCTGCAGCCCCTGCCTGCCTTTGCCTGCTGCTGCTGAACACCACAAGTCATTTGTGCCGGGTGCTGGTCTCTGCCACCTTCGGGTGTCATCTTGTGCTGAACACCGTGGGTCAGCTCTACCAAGTGCTGCTCTCTGCCACTGGTCTTCATTGAACGCTGGCCCTGGAGCACGTGTATTAACAGCTCAGTGTCTATTGCTCTTTCTTTGGGAACAACCATGCTGTCTGCACGACTCAGGATAAAATCCCAAGTCAATGTGCAGGACTTTTGAAGTGCATGCTACCGGAGGAGGGAGTCGCGAGCAGGTATATAGGAGCACCAGGCGCGTCTTTAACAAGGCCTGTGCTGCTGCGCAGGGTCAGTGCACAGGAGGGAGCCCTCCTAGGCTAAACCCACAAGGGCCGGGGGAGCCTGCTTATGGAGTAGCTCGCAGGCCTGTTCCAGCGAGGGGCAGGGCTGAGAGCTTGCTATGAACGCTGGGTATGCACACAAGGGGCCCAGATCCCTCTTGTCCTGCCTCAGCCACTTCAGGGTGCCCCCTTTCTTCTAAAGAAAGGCAGCAGTTCCATCTGGAGAGCAGGAGGGGCGCTCCACTGACTTTGGCGGCATCACATTGAAGCAGAGAGTGGCAGTTTGACTAGGACTCTGGAGCAAATTGTCCCGGTCCCTGGGTGTTGGGGGGGGGGGGCAGGCAGCCACCCGCCGAGCCACAGCACCCACACCAGCTGGCGGGTTTGTTTTTCAAGTTTCTCTCCTTTTTTTCTCTTGGTCTTTTTTTCTCTTCTGAAACCTTTCCTCTGTTCACTCTTCCTCATTTTACTTGTTTCCCTGTCTTCGCTCCCTGCTTCTCCACCCCTCCTGCAGTATAGAGAAAGCAGGCACCTGTGTGTGTGCAGAAGCGGGGAAGAAGAGACCAGAGCCTTAACTTGCATGTGTGGGCCTGTGGGCTGAGCCTTAACGGAAGGACGTGCACAGGGTTCACAGCTAACCACAATACGCGAGCAGCCTCACGGCGTCCCTAACCTCAGTGACGCCTCCCTCCCCCACCTCTGCAGATACTCTCGTAACCCCCTTAACACGAACCCTTTATGTACTCCGGCTCTGAAAATGCTTCCAACAGAGTCTGACCTCCTGTCTAAATTTCACCTATTAAAATTGCTCTTATCTCCCTGTCCTTCTGACTGTGTCCTTTCTTTGTCCTCTTCCCACATCCCAGACTCACCACCTATAACAGTAAAATACAGTCTGCAAGGGGCACTGACAGAAGGCAGAGTGTAAAAACAAGTTTTAATGCCACGGTTGATGTGGGGTCGGACAACACAGTGACCGTGTCCATCCCAATTCATGTAAACAGCATGAAGGAGTAGACAGTACCTGTTCACAAAGCTGAGACCCCTGCACTGGAAAGCAGAACCTACCTAAAGACCTCTTCATACAACAGCAGGTTCTCTTTATTAGACCTCAACCTTACGCACATGCGGGCACGCACTCGCGCTCATGTGCGCGCGCGCACACACACACACACACACACACACAGGGAACATGAAAAGGCAAGGCAACAAAATGCTTCCCAAGACTCCCAGCTCTCCCAAAGCAGATCCAAGGGACAGCAGGGGAGAGGAAATGAAACGTTGAATAACTGAGCAGCGTGAAACAATTGAACGGGAAGCAAACTGAGTGAGCTCAAAGGTGACATAACCCAAAAGGTAGTGGAGCTAACAGGTTGACCAGTGTGATTACAGAAGAAACAGACAACAGCAGCAACAATAGAAGAGCTGATCCAAACTATTCAAAATGTGAGCGACAAATTTACCAGAGGAATAGACGCTATGAAAAGGCGCCAGACCAAAATCCCGGAGACAGCAGAGGTGACCGATGCGAGGAGCGAGTCTCAGACCTCGAGGACAAAATGGAGATTCAGGACAGTAGACTTAAAGATACCCGAAAGTGCATCATTTTGAAAGGCGCTCAAGGGGTCCTTGTTTCCCGTTAGCTGGGATCTGGTCCGTGTTAGTTTTACGTGTCTTTGTTTCTCCTCTGTGTAATAAATTCTCAAGCTGAAGTCAATTTGATCTACTTCGGTACATTAGCAGCTTTTCCCAATGTTTTGTTTGAAACTGTTTCCTGGTCTAAGTGGTGCATCCACTCCCGAACAACTGACCAGAAGACACATGAAAGAAGAAACATTTCAGTGAAGAAAATTGCTTCGAATGTCATTTTCTACCTCTGTGACATTGAAGTACTTTTATAACCCTGATATAACAACCCAGCTTTTAGTCCTTGTCTGTAGTTCTTAGAGCAATCTAATTGCATGTAGGTGTAGTTATTAAGTATGTAAGCATAGTTAGTATTACTTTGTAAGCATTTCCTAAAGATCTTTATTGCACAAATCTTTGCATATACTTCAATTGTATGTACAACAGATTCGTTATAGTGTATAGCTGGAATTAAAGATTTTTTCATTTAAGCAGTAGTTAACCTTTGTCAGATGCAATGTAGAAGTGATTGAGGATGAAAATCAAATATATTAGAATATAAAATTTAAGTAATAGAAGTTCTATTATGTATTTATTAACTGAATTGTAAGATTCAATTTCAAGTGGACTTAAACAATAACTTGCTTAAAATATAAGTAAATTTATTGATCTGTAACTAGCAAAATTTGGCCAGGAACATGTTGACTTCAAGGTTATCTACTGACTTGCTAGATATCAGGCCTGGATTTTGTCTATGTTGTCTGTTTTATCCTTACAGGATACCACAACATACATTTTTCTAATGACCTTCTTTGTATTATTCTTTTACTAATCTTTCCAAAAGTTAGTTAAAAATAAAGCTTCCAATTTGATTTTTGCTTTATATACTTGGTGTGTAAAAGTCTTTCAGTGATTTAAATAAAATTGTAAAAAGAGCTGGGTGTGGTGGTGCATGCCTGTAATCCCAGCACTCGGGAGGCTGAGACAGGAGTATCACCTTGAGTTTGAGCCCATCCTTGGTTATATAAGCAATTTCAAGGCCAGCCTGCACTACCTAGTGAGGCTCTGTCTCCAGAAAAAGAAAAAAACGTTGTGAAAAGAATATCTTGATTCTGAGGGAAACCTCCAGCCAACCCTTCAATACTTCATATTGGAAGGCATCCAGTGGAATGTATACTGTGGTATCTTCTTAGAAAAGCCCTATAAGATATTTAAAATGGTTTTATTGTGTGACTTGTATACATCTGTTGGCTATGTAATAGTCACAAATTTAGTGAGAGTAAATAACCTTAGTCGCGTAAAAATGTCATGTTCTATTTTTAGTGCTGTCTATGCAAAGTCGTAAATGACAATCACAGAATTGTCTGTAACTGAAAATTTAAATATTTGCCTTTGTTTCGTTTGGTAAAAGTACAGCATATATTTGATAAACATTAAGCTAAGGTTTTGCTTTACTGATTTTTAGATAGATATTCTATAAATGAAGCATTTAGAATAATGTTTGTCAAATAACTCATTTTTTGAGTTAATACTAGAACAAAAAGCCAGAATGGCAAGCCTCGTTTAAATTTACTTTGAAGCTCAGTGTTTTTGCTTTCTTAGTTGTCTACCACCTCCCTCCCTTCTCCCTCCCTTCTCTCTTCAAATGGAGAGGATATAAGGAGAGTTCAGATGCGGCAGGTCTTAAACGAAAGCGTTCCCAAGGTACAGTAATTGTAGTTTTATTTCTCTGTGTAGTTATATTCCCAGTTTACAGCATTCCTTGTGTTTAAAGCATAGAAATGACTAGTTTTTTTAGAAGTCTGTCCCTTATGTATAGAGTTGTTCATTGTACACGTGTGTAAACATTTGTAAACTGAATGGTCCATGATGAGATGTATGCCAGTCTTAAGAGGTTTTACTTTAAGAGAGTGTGTGCACAATTTAAGAAGGAACAAAGTTTATCTGGCTCAACACTATTCTCTAAGTATTTTAGTCATGTAGTCTCGATCTTTTAAGCTTATATTGCTTAAAATTATTTTAACAAGAATGTGGTTGAAAAATAGATGTTAAACCCTTGCAACAGTTTTCTTTTAATATCTGAAAAGAGTTTTTATTCAGAAAGCTGACCTTGTGCATTGTTTTCTGTGGAACTGACGGTATTATTTAATGTGCTAATGGAATATTGGTCTTTTCTTCTGTGTCAGTAATGTGTCCTGGCAAGTAAGTAAAATATAAATTGATCTTTTGTACATTTTTTAAAATCACATAACTAAGAAGTACATTTTTTCATAGTATACTGTTTATTCTGCCAGGGATAAGATTTTTTGCAAACCCCTATGATTTTAGACCTTGACCCGGGCTATGTAGTTTTATATTGAACTTGAGGTTATTTCAAATCAGAAAAGTTAGACATATGCCAGGTACTGTTAGTATATACTGTTTGGTACCAGGGATACAAAACTGAGCCTCGCAGAGCTTTTGAATTCTGGAAGTATATAGGTTTGAACTTTTTGTTTTAAATTCACTTGCACCAAATATAACCCCAGTTACAGAAATGCGTTAACCATACTGACTTGAACTCATGGTAGAAAATATTTTTACTAAAACATTTTACCTTTGGATTTGTGCTATGATGAGCAATATCCAGTGATAATTGACTTTAATATTCAGTCCAAAAATACCTTATATTCCCACAGATAATCCTCTTCCCACATTCTTGTTTTGTCTTGCAATGAGTGCAATTTTTATAGACTATTCAGAAATAGTAAACTCCACAGAACAAACGGGACACAAGTTTCTGTGTCAGAGTTATTGCGGACTTTCAAATAGGTATAGTATCTCTCAGACCTAAGGAACAGTCACGTCACCTGGAAAAGCAGTTCTTTAATAATCAAAACACTTTATGTGTTAGAAGTTAAAGTTGTGGTAGTTTCACCATTTACTCCACGCTGTTTTAAGAAGCTGTCATTTCCTGTAGCACTGTTAATCGGTTATAAAAATCCTACCAGTGACTTACTTGACAGTTTTTTTTTCAATGACATAGTTTTTCCATCGAACCAAGTTATATGTCTGAATTGTTCTACGATCCAACTGTTATAATTTCACACACCAGTGAAGTTTGTTGTAGACACTTTGAAATGTTTCTTTTTTGCAACAGCTATTCACAGTTTCAAATTGAGTCGAAACCACGTGGACTGGCACAGCGTGGATGAGGTGTATCTTTATAGCGATGCGACAACATCTAAAATTGCAAGAACAGTTACCCAAAAATTGGGATTTTCTAAAGGTAATTGTTAAATATTACTAAGCTTGATCAAAATTGGGGCCATATATATTTTTTCCTTATATCCAAAATAGACAATTTAAATTCTGTTTTTAGTGTATGTTAAATAGGATTTAGTAACAGGTAGTGTGTTCAGGCAGTCTGAAACTTGTATTAAGGTAATTGAGCGGCAGGTACCCACCCACAAATGTACAGAATGATCTGGCAAGATTCACAGGTATCTTTTACACTTGTACAAGCATAAAAGCTCTCAATGCTGAGGCAGTCGAAAGCACAGCAATTGAAATATAATGTCAAGGAAGATAAAGACTGAAATCTTTCCATTGTAGTTAGTGAGAGAAGGATCGGTGTGACTGGAATTGGTAGGGCAGAAGCCAGATTGGGATGAGCTGAAGCATAAATAGGTCAGGAAACGAAAGCAGTGAGCAAGACTACTCTTTAAAGAAGTTTTATTGCAAGACAGGAGAGTGTGATACCTCAGGGAAGATGTGAGAGCTTCTCCGAAAGAAATTTCAGTTGTCTGATAAAATTTCACTCTCCCATTTTTATTTTAACTTTTAATAATGAATGTGCTTGGATCTCTTTAAGAGGGTTAGTAGTAGTTGAATGTTTTGGGAATTACCTTGCCTCATCTTTAGCCTAGTTTGCTATTTGAATGGTTATCTTTTTACTTTTTGCATAGGAAGCTCTTTTTGTATATTTTATATAATTTTTCCCAGTTTGCTGTTTCTTTTTTAATTTTTGCTCACTGGTATTTTTTAGAGACATCTTAAATTTGTACGTATTGTTCGTCCTTCCTTTTCTTCTTCCTAGTAGTGTCTGGCCTCGCCCCCGTGTCCAGGTCTCTTTGTATCAGCCAGTCAGCATACGTCGTCTCACAAATTCTATTTCCTCCTCTCTACTCCACGTGAATTTGCTCTTTATAATTCTTATTACTACTTTTTAAGAAACATATTGTGAAAGTGCTGCTTCTCCAAACGAACAGTAAATTTGGAGTCCTAATTGTTCTGCAGCATCAAGTAGCGGGACCAGACTTCACAGAGGTTACGTAGAAGAAGCCACGTTAGAAGACAAGCCTTCTCAGACTACCCATATCGTGTTTGTTGTGCATGGCATTGGGCAGAAAATGGACCAAGGAAGAATTATCAAAAATACGGCCATGTGAGTTCTTTGATGAATACGTTCTACATCTAGTCTAAAACCCATACTTTTGTCTAGGAGATGAGCGAGATTAACAGTTTGCTTGTTTTGCTGCCTCTTTCTCCAATGCCAACTCTTTCCATAATGTGTTGAGTTTTTTGGACCAGATTGGAAGAGTGATTGTATCTAGCTGAGGATGAGAATGAGGATGATAATCCCACCACCACCAGCACCACCAAGCCTGAGTGGAGGAGAGGCTGAGAAAGCCTTTCTAAACTTAATGTATTAAGTTAATCTACATTAATCTAAGACTGCAAGCAAGAAACGGGTGCAGTTTTAAGTTTGTATCTTATGCTGTGAACTTCAGAAACGGAGAATATATCAAAGTCGCACAGCTCTGTAAAAGCTAAGAATTTTTAAACTGCCAGTTAATAGTTTAACCTGTCCAGTTGAATGTTACCAGAGGAATCTGAACTCTGAAGTTTTGTGCAGAAAGTAGTGGAACACCAGAAAGGTTATTTAGCTCATTAGTCAATTTACATTCAGCTTGATGCCGAAACCTCTAAGTACTGGGAGGTAGATGGACAGACAGATGGACAGATAGATATTTCAAAAATGTTCAGTCTATGCTAAAGGGCATGTTAGAGTAAAAAAGTCCATCATGATTTAACTCTGAACTTTAAAGAAGTTTAATAGCCAGAGGGAAGAAAAATCTGATTTATGACGCATGTTAAGAATAAATGCATTTCAGTGACTGATAGTGTTGCATACAAGTACTTCAAGTCCATACTTGTGGCCGTGTGGAGTCTGATTAACCAGTTCTCATAACCGCCCCCTGGAAATCAGGTATAAGTTGACATCTCATAACCATAAGGAGAGGTAACGCCACAGGTAAGAATCAAAACCTGTATTGGAAGTGGTATGAATGAAATGTGTCCACTTCAGGGAGGATTATTACTATTTCTTCCAAGACAGGTAAATTTGGTGACAAATCGTCTACATAACTTAGAAATTGGTGGAAACTTTTCACACAAAAAGAAATTCTATTCAGTAACTGGTGGAACATCCGGAATATTTCTTACCTTTTCCTGTTTTCCCCCGGTAATTCCTAAGTTTGAGCCTGTAAAGAAAATAAAATTAACTTCATCTTTATCCCTGCTATTCTGAAGTGTATTTGTACTTGTGATTTGATGTATGACACTCCAGGTAGACTGAGGGTTGCTGTACTCCACTCCATTGGCCACCTTTCTTTTTTTAAGGATTCTTGAAGTCGTGTCTCAATTGTATGGCACTACAGATCTTCCCTGCACTGTTTTAGTGTACCTGCTAATGAATTCAGAATAGTTTTAATCACTTTTGTTGTAACAAAATATGCTTATTACCTCCTTAGGTTGAGAAGAAAGTTTATAGACAACTTCTGGAAATACCAGAATTTGTTCAGCAGAAGGGATACATATGTTTTAAATACAAGTGGATTTACATTTCATAGGGTTTTTTTACAAGAGAAATCTTCACTGAAGCTGTATATCAAAAGCCCTAAATTAGTCATTTAAAGCTATCATTTTAGAACTGTGTGAAGAGAATTTCAGTTAAACATGAGTGGTTGAGTATGTAAGTTTATCTTACACCTTCCTGAAACTTCACTAAAAATCCTAGCACAGGAATTTTCAAAGAAAAAAAAAAATCATAAACTCCCTAAGTACTAAAAAAAAGATGGGGGGATATAGCTCAGCGGCACAAGCACCTACCTGGCAAGTGCAAGGTCCTGAGTTCGATTCCCAATACCAAAAAAAAACCTGAAAATAAAAAAGATGGGAGAGACACAGCAGCAGACAAGAATGTCAACAAAACTTTCAAATAGAAATGCATATAGTTCACAAATCAAAAGATAAAAATGCATAGCATGGAAAAGGCCGGTTCTCATTCCCCTCCCGTCTTCCCCACTACCATGTCCTTCTGTTGCATTTTGAATTCTTCCATATTTTATTTAGGCATATACAAATTTTTTCACATAAAAGGTGGCATAATATAAACTTACAGACCTTGATTTTTGTTTAAAAATGTATATACTGTGGAAGATTATTTTTCATGATTTCCTTTTTTTTTTCTCTTGGGTGTGTGTACAATAAACATCACACACTTATTTTTTTCAGAGCCATTTGTCTACCCTTAGACAAAATTTCCCAGGTGCAATCAAGCTCTTCTTTCCCTTTTCAAAATATAAACAAAGCATTTGTGGGCTGGCAAGAGAACATGGAAGGCAGAATAAGCTTATAACGACTAAAATGATCTCTGTGCATGTCATTATGCCAGCACTGATTTGTTTTAGTGAGAGCTATATTTCTAAATTACTCCATTTTCTCATTTTTCTCTGCCCCTCATTAGTTTCACTGTTTCTTGTACAGTCAAGACTATATATTTAAAAAATAAATAATAAATCTTACCATCTTTGTTATATTATCATGATCTATATGAAGGAGTATTATCAGTTGTAAAATCTCTATGGGTTACTGTAGTTCTTTGAAAATATCTACAAAATTGATAAATCTTTAGCTAAAGTAACCAAGAAGCTAAAAATAGACCAAAGTTATTAAAATTAAGCATAAAGAAGAGGACAGAACTACCAACCTTACAGAAATAAGAAGGATTAGAGGGTAGTATTATGCAGAGTTCTATGGTAATGAACTAAATAATTTAAATAGACAAATTCCTAGAAATTACACAGACTGCCACATTGATTTGGCAATGAGTTTGAAGTGTAGGAAATCTCACTAGAACTATAGCAATTAAAGCATTTGAATTAATACTAAAAACAAGCAATCCACCAAGAAAGTCCAAAACCAGATGACTACTCAGGTGAATTGTATCACACATTAAAACAATTAGCGTCAGTTCAAATTCTTTACGAACTCTCAAGAATATAAGAAGAGGGAGATTTTCCAACTCATCCTCTGTAGCCAGTATTATCCTAATACAGTACTGAAAAAGTATTTGTAAGGAGGAAGGGGAGATTAATATCTGCTACAAATGCAGAGCATGAGTGCAGCAACACACGAGTTAAACACCATGAATAAGTGGGATTTACCCAAAGAATACAAAGTTAACTGGGGTGACTTTCTAGGAGGAAAAAAATACATATGTAAGAAGATAAAGAATGAGGAGAGGACAGAGAATTGGGAGAGAAAGATGGGTATGTTGTGGCTATGTCCTTAGGGGATGTGGGGATATAGTTCAGTGGAACAAGTGCCTGCCTGGCAGGTGCGAGGTCTTGAGTTCAATTCCCAGTACCAAAAAAAATCAATGTGGCTATGTCCCTAAATTTGCCTTACTAAAAATAGTATATATTAATTAATAAAGGAACAATGCATCATAATTTTTGCTGTAGGAAAAGCATTTGACAAAAATACAACACCATTTCATAATAAAAACACTCAGGAAGGTAGAAACAGAAAGGAACTATCTCAGCCTGTTAAAGGAAATCTTCAAAAGGCCATCAGCTAAAATCATACTGTACTGGTGAAAGACCAAAGCCTTTTTTCAAAGAGCAGGAACAAGACAAGCATGTTACCTCCCACCGCTTTTGTTCAACACTGTACTTTGTGTGTGAGCCAAGGCACTTACGCAAGAAAAAGAAAGAAACGACATTCAAGTTAGAAAGGAAGAAGTAAAACTATTTCTTCTTGCAGATAACATCATCTTTTTTATAGAAAATCCTAAGGAAAGATAGATAGATAGATAGATAGATAGATAGATAGATAGATAGATAGACAGATAACGTGAGAGCTATTAATTTAACCAAGTTGCAGGATAAAAAGTCATCATACAAAAATCTGTTGTATTTATATATTAAAAATGAGCAACTTGAAAATGAAATTAAGAAATCATCTCCCTTTTACTGTAATATTACAAGAATAAAATACTTAGGAATAAGTTTAACAACAAAAGCATAAGATTTGTCTACTGAAAGACATTTAAGACCAAAGTAAATGGAGTGGGCATCCTATATATGTGGACTGAAGAGTTTAATATTGTCAATATGGCATTATTCTCAAATTATTAGTGGAATTGAATTGAGTTCAAATTTATTTTTTACCCTCCCAAAACAATTCAGTGGAGAAATAGTGGTCTTTTTGACAAATGGAGCTGGGACAACTGAATAGTCATCTGTAAAAACTGATGTTGGACTCCTACCTCACACCATGTAGAAAGGTTAATCCAAAGTGGGTCAAAGGCCTACACATAAGAGCTAAAACTTTAGAAATTTTAAAAGAAAACGTGAGTAAATCTATTTGGCCTTAAATTAGGTAGTGGTTTCTGAGGTGTGACATCAAAAGTAGAATCCACAAAAGAAAAAGCAGGTTTTGTTGAAATTCTTCAAAACTTTTGTTCATCAAAGGATGCTATCAAGAAAATCAAGGCAACACTCAAAGTTGGAGGGATTATTTATAAACCATGTTTCAGATTGAGTCTAATATCCACCATATGCAAAATACTCTTTACAATTCAGTGTGAAAAAGGACTAACCCAATTTGTTAAATGGGTGAAAGATGGGAGTAATCATTTGTCCAAGTAGTGTATATAAATGATCAGTAAGCACAGAGAAAGATATTTGGCATTATTAGTTATTAGGAAAATACAATTCAGGATGAGAGAAGTAGCCACTTCACTCCCACTGGGAAAATTATTATCCAGAAAATGGAAAAGAAGTGTTAGCATGGTGTACAAAAGTTGGAGCCCTCCTGTGTTTTTGGTGGAATTGTAAAATAGTATACCTGCTTTGGAAAACAGTCTGGCAGTTCCTCAAAACATTAAACAGCGTATGTGTAACAGTACCACTCTGGGTAGAGCTGAATACATGTCTGCATAAAAACGTGTTAGAGAATGTTCACAGCAGCATTATTCATAATAGCCAAAAAATGGAAGCAAATCACATGTTCATCTACTGATAAGTGAAGAAAATATACTTATAAAGTGACGTATTATCCAACCGTAAAAACGGTAAAATACTGATTCATGATACTGAACGGATGAACCTGGAAAATATGCTAAATGAAAGGCCGTACACAAAGGGCCACATGTTATATGGTTCCATTTATATAAAATGTCCAGAATAGGCAAGTCCTCAGACAGAAAGTATTCTAATGGCAAAGGCTAAGAGGAGCGTGCTAATGAGTATGACATTTGTGGAGTGGTGAAAGTATTCTGATATTAGTGGTGAAGACTGTGCACTTCTGTGAATATACTAAAAGCCAGTGAGTTATTTAAAAACACAGACCAAAAATGGGAGACAATCTGAGCATTACTAAGGATAATAAAACAGATTGAAGTACGCCGGTGTTTAAATCTCAAGTTATAAGACATCTGTGGGTTAGAAGTTTTGCGCGCGCAGGCTTCTGTGTTGAAATTTAACCCCAATTGTAAGTCATTAAGAAGGTGGAAACCACAGTTACGGTATATGGGGGTGGTGCCTTTGGGAGGTAATGAGGATTAGATTGGGTAAATAGGGTGGAGCTCCGCGATTGAATCCTGGTGGCTTTGTAAGAGAAGGCAGAGACAACAGATGTCTAGAGGTTGTGCTCCCTCTTACACGTGCTGCTCACATCAGCCTCTCAGCCTAACATCTCCAGAACCAAGAACCAGAATAGCCTCCTCCTTGTAAAGTAGCCTGTCTCAGCTGTTTCATTACAGTAACTTAAAACAGGCGACTACATCATCAAAATGTATAAAACCTAATAACTGTTCTGAAGACTGTTAGTAAAAAGGGAAGAGTTAAACATCCTGCCTTTCAATGAATTGTATCTCAGGTTATACAGAAACTGTTCGTGCCCCAGGGCAGCCACACGTGATATGAAGAAATGCCTGTGTCCAGAAGTAGATACTTTTAAGCACAGAAGGAATAATGAGAGTTTAAAAAGTACCTTTTGCAGTCGTGATCTAAGCAATGATCGGCAATAACTGCAAATATCAGTGAAAAGAGAAAAACAGATATCTGACGCTGTGGATTCTTAGCAGAACAAAACTTGAATATGATGAGCGTCTATGTCATACTACCAAATGACAGAAAATATGGGACAAAGAGCATGCTGAGTAATACCATAGGAATTCAGTCAGCAAAAATCGAACTCTGGGAAACTCTGTAGACAAAAAATAAAACTGTAAGTTACAGGGAAAAAAGATCTATAGATTCAAAGACATTTAAGAGATATCTAACACTTGCCATGCATGGACCATATTTGGAACTTAAGTTGAAAAATTGTTTAGTGTTATTATAAAATAACATTTACAGTTCAACTAGAAAAATTGGGACCACTAAACTAAATAATTTCTGAAATTTAATATTATCTTTTGATAAAGTAATATTGACGAGAATATATTTTAGAGATAACATGTATAATTTACAGATAAAATTATATGATGTCTTGAATTTGCTTTAAATCATGGTGGAAGGATGTAACTGTTAAAAGGGAAACATGAGTATTTGAGAATGAACTATTCAGTATCTTGCTTGTGTATGCTAATCACACATCTATGCATGTGCTGAAATTCATGAAACTGACAAAGGAAAAAAAATAAATTCATTGATGTCTTAATTTAAAAAATAAAATTTTAAAATCCATATTATAAAGAGAATGAGTAGAGGAACAAATGATAGGCCATGATTACTTCATACAGTATTTAGAGCTGGTTGTTGGCACGGGGGTATTCATTACACTGTTCTGTGTACATTTATAATTATTTATAATCCAATGTATTGATTGTACCCTTTTTTTTTTTGAATCAGGACTCGAACTCAGGACCTTGCGCTTGCCAGGCAGGTGCTTGTGCCGCTGAGCTATATTCCCAGCCCCTATAATACAATGTAAAGCTTGGAACATTTGAAATTGTAGATGGAAGACTTAGGAAAATAACTTTGAAGATGTCCTGGTATTGCAGACTTACTTAGTGCAGCAATAATTGAAATATAATTGGACAAAATTATAGACAAATGCAAATATTATTACATATGTAAAGCAGCTGTCAAAGGTGTTTGGGGTTTTTTGGGTTTTGAGTTTTGGGGGATTTTTTTCACTTTTATTTATTTATTTTATTTTTTAGGATGAGAGAGGCTGCAAGAAAAATAGAAGAAAGGCATTTTTCCAACCATGCAACACATGTTGAATTTCTCCCTGTTGAGTGGAGGTCAAAACTTACTCTTGATGGAGGTATATTCTGTTTTAAAATTGAATGATTTAGCCAATAGCAAACTTTTTCCAAAGTAAATGTAGAAAATTTTAGAAACACGTTTTACCCAGTAGGAACAGAGTGTCTTCAATTTCATTGTCTTGGGGTATGCTGTTTGTTTTAGATTATTCTACACTTGGTAACTGATAGTCCTGTGGGGGAAAAGGGGGAAAAGTGATCCTTGCTTTAAGTGGCGGGTAGATCAAAGACATAATAATATATAAAAGCAAAGGCCAAATCATTTGAGAGAAAATACTGAAGAGAGCACGTTTATGAACTCAGAGTAGGAAAAGATTTCTTAAAACATCAAAACCTAATTAAAGAGTAAAGTGGGTAAATTTCATTAGGTTAAAATTAAGGACCTCACTCAGGCATGATGGTGCATGCCTGTAATCTCAGCCGCTTAGGAGGCTGAGGCAGTGTGGTCACAAGTTCAAATTCAGCCTGGGTGATTTAGCAAGGCCGTGTCTCAAAATTAAAATTGCAAAGGGCAGGGGGAAAGGTGTGACTCAGTGGTAGAGCACTTGCCTAGCACAAACAAGACCCTGAGTTCCATCTCCAGTGCCACAAAAAACAAAACAACAACAACAAAAAGAAACTCTTTATCAGTAGATCGTAGACCACGAAGGACTGGAAGGTAAACCACACTTTGGGGGAAAATGTTGCAACAAAGCAACACATGGAGCCATCAATCCCGAGTAAAGAGGAGGGAAGTGCATACAGTGTACTGCAGACATGTTGTGCGGCCTGTGGACGGCTGTGCTAGTTTCTGTACATCTTTGAAAAGACTTCTATTCTTGTCCTTGCATTTCAGCCCTTATTTTATTGTACTAAGGTATAAGATAAAATAACCTAGGCTAGTGCAGTGAAAAATTGGAGGATTAAAAAAATTTGCAGTTAATTAAAATTGTAAGCCTTCTCCACCTCCTTGTACTTTCAAGGGTTAATACAGCAGCTCTTGTTTATCATTCTATTTTAATTTGTTGCTGATTTCCTGTTAGTGATATCAGGCTCTCCACATGGGTATTACCAGCCCCAATATCCATGAATCTAAAAAAAATTGATAGCTTTCCTTCGCCTGTGCTTTAATGTTCCTTTCTTTGCATGTTCCCTTTTGTCTTTTACTGTTTTTATTGCAGTCGTTTGCGGGAAGGCCCACTAGAGCCAAAGCTGGCCTTAAACATTTAAATGTTAAATTATTTTAAGAAATACAATTTTTTTTCTCAGTCCCCAGAGTAAGGATCTTAAGTAAATTCAATTTTGTTTTGTTTTTGTAGACACTGTTGATTCCATTACTCCTGACAAAGTACGAGGTTTAAGGGACATGCTGAACAGCAGCGCAATGGACATAATGTATTACACTAGCCCACTTTATAGAGATGAAGTAAGTAGCATGATTATCTTGTTGCTGAAAGGTATGTTTTACAGGGATAGCATACAAATTCCTTGAAGTTTAACATCTTACGTTCTTTTCTAAAAGCAGAGAAGTTACAGGACTCTGCTAATATATATAAATAGCATATATTTAGTAGTGAATTTGATGATCAGACTGGACATTGGGACCTTTAATAAAATGGATGATTTCATGAGTGGGGTATGGGTTAGAAAATAGTTCTCTGAAAAATACTGGCTTTTATAAATCCCATTAATTGCATTCCTAATTTTGTTGTCCTCACAAAAGAGTTTTAGACACTTAGAATTGTCCTTCGTATTACTGTATGTGATAGACTTTTATTACCTCGCTTCAGTAATGATTCAGAGTTCTCAAAAGAACAGGCGCATCACGCAGAGACAGAAGAGGGTGAGGGGTGAAGGTTTCCTCGGTGGGTGGGAAAATCCCCACCAATGGTGTCCTTTAGTTTTATTAAAAAGTAGGTGTTTCATAAGAATACATGTTGGTTGCCTAACATGCATTAGCTTGTCCAGTCCTCATCAGAACCCTATGAAGGAGGTGCCGTTAGTGTCCTGGCAAGGAGCGAAGACACTAATGCCGGGAGGGGAGGGACCTACCGCAGTGGCTCACCTGATAAGTGACGGTGCCGGGACCGAGGCGGGGTGGAGCACCACAGCCTGTCTGCTCTACATTCCTCTCTCCCGTGTTCCCAAGGCCGCTGTGGGGGCCGCCGGCTGGGCACTTTACTTTGCTAGGCCGTGCGTTTAAGCAGTGCGGGGACACCTGCTGTGTACCGCATGCTGGCTGCCCTCGGCCCACGTTACTGTAAACTGCTGACCTCCGTTAGTGGAGCAGCAGGGAGAATATGTATAGGTGGATGAAAGTAAAATCAGTTGCTTTGGTAAAATTCCTTTATGAGAATCAGGTAAGATCTGACAGTATATACCCAGATGAGCTGGTAAAATGTGTTCCAAAGTAAGGAAATTATTTACATGTTTATTGAATTTATTATGTATATGATACTGTAGTAAACCAGGAGTCCTTGCCCTCAAAAAAGTTTAAAACAGTGCCGTGTAGTACATGTACACACATTCGTGAAATGTGCCTGAAGAAAAGAAATCCATGGGAATCTTTGAAATTGTTCTTAACCCTTTGAGAAAACTATTTTAGGCTTCTTTTTATCATATTTAAGGTAAATTTGTATTTGTATTTACCCTTAATCGTAACTATTCCATTTGTTCCTAAAAACTATGCAATAGGAATTGTTGAATGCAAATTATATACAGATTGTAGGCACAGGCTACTTGATTGCAGTCCCACAGTAGCACTACTTTTTGTGATTTCTACATCTGCAGAATGGATGCTGGATTCTGACAGTAACCACCCTGCAGGAGGGTCTTGTAAGGAGGAACTGAGACATTGCTTCTCTTAGCTTGCAGCGGACAGCAGTCCGTCCGTAGGAGCGGTTACTCCAGCTACTGTAATGTCAGGTCCTTACAGTTGCTGACTCCTGAGTGGAATCCCCAGGGAGGAAGCAGGCCAGTTGCTGTCGGCAGAAGCCTCTGCTTTCGTAGGAGAAGGAAGTGTTTGATGTTTCCGTGGGACTGTTCTTTTTATCCGTGTTTTTAATCTAAAAATATTTGTGACTTCAGAAAACTTAAATTGGAATGGACCCTGGCAGTAGAATTTAATATATATACTTTCAAGATTATGTAAAAGTCACAGATTTTTTGAAATGTCATGGTGCTGAAATGAGATTGTCCAGAGAGGGAATGTAAGATGTGGAGAGAAAAGGGTCCCAGTCAGATCGAGGAAGGAGCATCAGGCAGCGCGCAGGCAGGTGCAGAAGGACACACGGAGCAGGGTCAGAGAGGTGAGAAGGTCGTCAGCTGAGAGTGACAGCCTCAGAGAGAGGAAATTGCACCCATTTTTGGAAAGGGCGAAAGGGGAAGAGAAGTGCTGTGCAGATGCCGAGAGTAAGAGCGGACTGCTCAGAGCTCCAGAGTTGGGGGAGGGAGGGAGCGTGCGGAGAGTCAGGGCTGGACTGCGGCTGCGGTGGGACCTCGAGGGTCGCTCGCTCGTGCTTCAGGCGGTGACTGTCCCGCAGGTGGCCGGGCAGAGCTCAGAAGCTGTAGGGCTGCATGTGGGAGACCTTCGCCGTGCCAGTTGAAGTTTCAACCAGAGTTGTTTCCATGAATCAGAATTTGACCCTGGTAACTGGTAAGGACTTTGGCCAGAAGACAATTTTAAAACATTTGCCACTGCAGTCAGAGCCTCTGCAGGCTACCTTTCAAAGACAGCGCCTTTTCTTCAGTTTCAGCATCAGAACGGCAGAGCTCAGAGGCCTGCCTTTGACCAACTTGAGAATTTAAGAATTGCTTCCCAAAATGTCGGAAAACCGTTCAGCCCACTTCAAAAGGAATGTGCAGGGCCTCTTCGCTCGCTGGGGTCTGTACTGTCCTCAGCAAAATCCTTCCTCCAGAGCTCTTCATTGTTGATGGTGATTGGTTTTCTCCCTGTTTCTGAGGAGATTTAGAACTTTGTCCCATTCAAGGTTTATACATTAGGCTGTGGATTAATTTAAAGTGTTGTACATAGTTGGCAAAACGTACTAACAATTCCAAACTTACTCTAGTCAGCAAAAAAAATTATATAAACTATTGGCTTTATCCCTTCTAAAACTGTTGTTTTGCCAGATACAGTGGCACACACCTGTAGTCCCAGCACTCTGAGACTGAGGCAGGAGGATCACAAGTTCGAGCCCAGCCAGGGTTACTTAGTCACTTAGCAAGAGCCTGTCTCAAAAATGAAAACTTTTTAAAAGCTCAGTAGCTTAGAGTAAAGGCCCCAAGTTCAGTCCCTAGTGCTGCAAAGTAAATAAATTCTATTGGGTTCTCCTTATTAGAAGCATAGATTATTGATATTTCACAGAATGAATAAAGATGTCCAGCGGAGCTGCTCTGCACTGCCCAAAGAAATCCATTTCTGATTTTATTTATTCACAGTCATCCCTTGATACCATTCAGCTTCTACCTGTGGACAGAAATATATTTGGTTGGTTGGTTACCATAGAAACTCCTATTGGCCATCTCATTGGAGTTTTCTCCTTTCTTTCTATGCCAGTATTTTGTGAGGTTTGCATTAATCTGAGTGGACAGTGAGAAACGAAAAGAGAAGAAATATATGGCCAGTTCTGCCATACTTCCATCATTTTGTATTCTGCTGTAAACGTTTGTCCCTAACACAGACCCTTCAGCATTCCACAATGTATATATTATTTAGTTACCAACTGAGATCCAGATGTAGCCGTCCTATAAGCACTTCAAACGGTCCTTTATCTCTTCCACCCGGTGTAAACTTGTTAGAAGGAAAAGTGAAATAGCAAGATGTGGAAGAAAGGTGCACCTGCATGGGGTTCTGCTGACGGTTGGTTAGAGGACAGTTTGAGACCAGGGAGATGAAGTGAAAACAGAGCCAAGAAACGCTATTACAGAAGAGGCATATAGTGCCCTCCCGCTACACGGAAGAAATAGACAGCATGTGCTCCACAGCCCACAGAACTAGTCTCGGTTTGAAATAAAGAACACACTTACCTCCTAGGCACCTCAAAGTGAGCAATGACTTCACTATATTCTGTACTTGTCTTGCTGATACTTCATGTCCCAAAAGGTAAGAGAAGGTACCAGAGAATTATTATTCTGGACCTAGGAGCTGGGGATTTAGCTCAGTGGTGCAGTGCCTGCCTGGCAAGCGTGAGGTCCTGAGTTCAATTCCTAGTAGACCACCCATCCCGCCACCAAAAAAAAAGGAAGCTATTCTGTACCTAATTCTGTCCGGGAAGGAAGGCCTGTTTGGGTCATGTTAACTTCATGTTTGGTTCACAATAACCCCAAAATAACTAGGTAATTGTTAGTAATTACTATAAAGAGTTTATTAGAATTTTCAGTACTTATATAGATAATATAAGAATGGATTATAAATCATTTAAAAATACTATATCATATCAATTATAAATAGATAAATAAATAGGAGAAGGGAAGTTCTTTGCTTACAGCAGAATGCTGAAGACTAACTGGAAGGGATTTTGGGGTTGGAAAATCATTTTACAAACATGGTTGTAGGACCACGTTAGAGAAGACAGCAAGACTTACCAATGGATACCAAATTATCAAGGAGCAGGATATTTGTATGATCTTAAAATGTGTCCCCACAGATCATTCATTAGTTTAAGAAAAAGAAACAGGAAAAACCCCACTTCCCCATCCCTATCCTGGGTGTCCCTAAGGGACAGATGGACACTGTGTGCCTCCTGAATACGGTACCTGGAGGAGGACCTAGCCTCGCCTGTGCAGTACTCTAATTGTGAGGAAACATCAAAGAAACACAGAGCGAGGACATTGTGGTTAAAAGTAACAGTGGGACTGTATCCACATCAAAGGCAAAAATGGCTGTGGAGAGGGGTCCAGATTAAAAGAGGGTGAAGACACGGGATAGCTAAATAACATCGGTAGCCCATGCTAGGCTGTAAGCAGCGGGGATTTGGGGGTGGGGGGGTGGGGGGGATGAGACTGACAGCACTGGAATGTGGATGGTGGACTGGTTAGACTACTTCGCTGGTGTGAATTTAAGAAGCTGGTAACTATCCTAGGATTATTCCTGGTTTTAAGAAATATACAATGACATATTCACGGGTAAAAAACATGACGTGTAATATATCCTCAAGTGGTTTCTAAGCCATCAGGAATGTGCACTTATGTGTATTACAAAAACAGAGAACAAATGACAAAGCAAATGGGATAAAATACGAACAGTTTGAATCTAAATAAATGAAGTATGTGTCATCTTTATACTATTTTTATTTTGTAACATTTTATAAATTGGAAATTATTTTGAAATGAAAAGGAAACAGGAAAAAGTCGTTCTCCAGTTTCCTCCCCAGGGATTCTGATCCACTGGGACCACAGGGAGTTTGGGAAGCACGGCATGTGAGAGCGAAAGCGTACATAGTAAGAGGTAAACAAAGTGGTTCTCGTTTTTTAAAAACGGATTTTGCAGATTAAAATCCACTTAACGTGAAGTTAACGTGCATCGGCACCCTAGAGTATTATTTCAAAGTACACATTTCCTTGGGGACTAGTGACCAGGACTAAGTCATACCTGGCGAGTGAACCATGTTTGGTCTATTTGATAGGAATTTGAAAAAAGCCATTTTTTTCACTCTCCAAAGTAAAATAAGGACCAGTGAGTACAAAATACAGGAGAGAAGCCAGGCTTGGTGGTGCAGACCTGTAATCCTAGCACTGGGGAGGCTGAACCAGGAGGATTGCTGCGAGTTCAAGGCCAGCCTGGGCTGCACAGTGAATTGAAGGACAGCCTGCACTACATAGCAAGACCCTGTCTCAAAAAAAACCAGGAGGAATCAGAATTGTTTCCTGTAATGAGCTGTGTAGTAACGAAACTGCCTTTAAAACAGACGGGAATGGACACGGGCTTTAAAATTACTCCAGCGAGGGGTGTAGCTCGTGCTTAGCGTGTGTGAGGCCCTGAGTTCATCCCCAGACCCGCAGAGATACTGAATTAACATAAAATGAGCTAAATCCCTAAGAGTAAAGATACTGCGCTACCACAAACCAGAGGCTTCTGCAAGGACTTCACCTTCACAGAAGTTGAAATAGATCTTCTCTGTGCACGCTTTAACTCTAAGGTTGAGATGCTCGTGAGAAGGCCCCTCAATAGTGATTTGCTAATAATCACAGAAAAGCCACGGCTCAGGAATAAGTTTTGTGAATCAGTCAAAACACATCTTAGAATCAGGAAAAAAGCAACCAAAAAACAAAGCTTAATTCTAGACTATCAAAAGTAAGGGGTTAAATAACCCTTAGTTACTTGTGGGCTAATCAGGCCCACAATTTCCCAAGCGACTGGACAGGGAAGGCTTAAATAAATGAGACAATGGCAGTGATTTCAGGGCTCCAGGAGGGACTAACTCTCTTACACCTTCGAAACTCTCTGAGTTTAGACAAAGACTTCTCTAGGCAGTCCGTATTTATTTGGTTTACAAACAAAGGAGGAGAATACTCAAGAGAACTGCGGGAATCTGGGCAGGACTTTTCCAAGTAATACATTATGTTAATTTAGGAGAACTATGTTATCTCCAGGAAGGCCTTCACAGCAGGGGTGAGATGCTTGCAGCTGCAGTCTCCTTATAGTTAATTGGGATTGGAACCAAACAGCTTCAGCTGTGGCCTTACCTTGTCCTTTGAGGTGTCACAGCTTCACAGGCCAATACAGGCCTCAGGATGACCAGTGACTCACAGAAGTTTACTTACTATGAGTCCACTGCCCGTCTTCAGACAAGGTGCCTAAGCTTCAGACAATTGACAAGTAAACACGGAAAGCCAATTGGTTAATATTAAATCCTGCTCAGAACCACTTTGTAGTGGCCTTCAACCCTAAGTAAAGTAACAAGAGAAATTCAGAACTGTACATCTAAACTCTCTTTTGAAAGACTTAAAGATGAAGAATTACAGAGAGAGCATTATTGGCCATATCTGCCATGACCCTATCTTGTCATTGTTGTTTGACTCATGTATATTAGGCGAAACTTCTTTTTCTCATGAAAACTTCCTGAAGCAAGGCAAAGGACAAAGGATTAATTCTATTCCTCAGCCGTATTTGCGTTTGGGCTCTCTCTTGAAACTGCTTGTATTTTTGTTTCCCCTTGATTTTCTTCATAAAATTTAGCTCGTGAGTGCTGGTTGTGAAAATTTGAAACTTTTAAATTTTTTAAAAGCTATTCCATACCCGCTGGGTAAAAGATTCAGCAGTGTTAGATAATGCAGACCTAAGAAAGATCACAGAGCGTATAGTTATGGCTCACATGTCCCGAATGCGTAGACTTGGGATCCTCACTGGAAGGGAGTAGGAGAAGGGGAGGGGGGAATCCCAGAGAAAGTTTTCTGGCTACACCACAGAAGTGAGTTTCTCTTTTTGCTGTTGAGCGGCTGAGTTATGAGGTGTGTGTAGCCATGTAAAAAGAGCCATGTAGCTTTTAAAGTCATAAACAGATGCTCCTGTTCATATAACCTATAGGCAAAAATAACAAAATACTACCCCGTCTAGATACATTCTAATAAGCAGATAGAACAGCCATCTGTAGGGTACTACCAAAGCAGGTGAAATATGAGCTCTTCAGAAACTCTCCATGCTCCATAGGGCAATACTTCACTGTCGCATAGACGTTCCCTGTCTTAGCGCTTTCCCTTGTCCGTCATCCGTGTGGGTGATTGCCACACAATGAGGTAGGTAGTATAGTAGGGATGCTTTCAATTTGAACACAGAGTAGGTTGATACAGTGATTACCTTTTTTTATTTTTAAATTTTAATTTGGAGGTTGGTATGTGAAAACATAAAGGTTAGAAACTTTTTGCCAGAATACTAAAGTATATACACTTCTTAGTGCTTCTAAATTTACATAATACACATCTTAGAAGCAGGGCCTTCCAGAGTAAAAACTGTGGGGCTGAGGGGCGTAGCTCAGGGGTCACACTCTTGGCTAGTGTGCACAAAGCCCTGGGTTCTGTCCCCAGCCTATCTCTCGCTCGCTCTCTCTTACACACACACACACACACACACACACACACACACTATAAAGTATAACTTCTAAACGAGTTTATTTTGTGTACACATTAAGTTTTTCAACACCTCCTTCATATGAATTGTAAATGAGGAAAATTACACAATGATAAGGATCATTGGTATTCTGGATGCAAGCCACATCCAAAGCATTACATTACAGCTCCCTTTGAGGAGAGCCATGTAGTTTTGTGTCACTGCATACTTCCTAAGCTGCGTTAACTATATATGACTACCCCAAATCTTAGGAGGTTTTTATGTGTACTTGCCACTAAATTAGTAGCTGCTAAATTGTAGTCCCCAGGCCAGCAACGTGCAGTTTCTGGGAACTTGTCACAAATGTAAATACAAATTTCCAGGCCCCGTGTCAGCGCTTCTGAGTCAGGAGCTCTGGAGTGGAGCCCAGTAATTGTATATTGCAAGCCCTCCAGTGACGCTGTGCGTGTTGGAAACTGGAGAACCATTGCACTAACGCATGGAATTCTTTTTCCTTTCCTGAGGGGAAAAAATAAAACATCCAATGACAGTAAACTTTGTGTATTCCACCTTCAGAAAGGGCACCTTATCCTGCCATAGGCTGCCAGCTCATCTTCTCGTTCTTCCTTGGTTGAGCCTAAAGATTCCAGTGACTTCCACTTTACGTCAGCAGGTCAAGAACCTGAGTGAGAGTTGCTGAGGGCTAGTTGTCTCTTGAGATGCGATAACAAGATCGAATGTAGAAGCAATGAATGATCTTTGTATGTCAGAGTGGCAGCTGGCCTATTAAGCAGTAGTGATAAGAGAAATTGAGTTACCAGGCAGAAAATTTATAATCAATTAAAATTAACAGTAGGAAGACAGTAAAAGTAGTAGATCAACATCAGCTTTTTCTTCAGTCATGCAATGGATTTATCTTACATTACCTAAGGTGTAATACGTGTACGTGTCATAAACTCGGCACTTTCTAAGTTTTACTACAGTTGAAAACCACAAGGTACAAAAATTTAGAATTGCCTGTGAGTAGGTTGCAATGAAGAAATTTCCAGGGGTCTTTAGACACGTTACTGAACTTTGCACGGAACTTTTTCCTTAGTGTCTAGGACTGGTGACTCCTAGTTGCCTTAAGGGCTATGACAGGAACTGTGTGGGTAATGTAATGCCTCTGTACTCCGTAGTGATAATGTGGACTGTAAATCCTACCTACGCCTTCATTGCTGAATTAATCCTAGCAACCTAGGTATATTTACTCAGTAATGTTCATCTTCTTAAATACATTTGAGTTGAGAAACCAGGTTTATAGTGCTCAGTGATAACTCTAATATGGTAATATTTTCTTATTTCAAACAGCTAGTTAAAGGCCTTCAGCAAGAGCTCAATCGATTATATTCCCTTTTCTGTTCTCGGAATCCAGACTTTGAAGAAAAAGGGGGTAAAGTCTCAATAGTGTCCCACTCCTTGGGGTGTGTAATCACTTATGACATAATGACTGGCTGGAACCCAGTTCGACTGTACGAGCAGCTGCTGCAGAAGGAGGAAGAGCTGCCGGACGAGCGGTGGATGAGCTATGAAGAACGGCATCTCCTGGACGAGCTCTATATAACGAAACGACGGTGAGCGGGCCTCGTCCTGGACAGAACCCGCAAGTCTTCATGGAGTTCTTAGACCCGTTGGGAGAAAGCTTTAAGATTTTCACGATTTAAAAAGGATTCTACATTGTTGAGGATAAGAAGATTGCTAATAACATGCCCAACCAAGCTAGAAGCTATTTGTTGATTTTTGTGCTAATTCCATCCATTTTCCTGCAATACAGAGTAGTTTTGTTATCTTTGTTTCCTCTGCCTTTCCTTACTGCGTGTTAGGAGTGAGATCTAAAATGCGGTACGAGGGGAATCAGTGCACAGAACCCTTGTGGAAATGTTGACCAATTTGTATTCTTTCCTTGTCTTACGCATCTGCAGGAGGAGACCTCTACACTTCTCTTTTAAATACAGGGTCTCGCCAGGCGTGGTGGCGCACATCTGTAATCCCAGCAGTTAAGAGGCTGAGGCAGGAGGATCATTGTGAGTTCGAGACCAGCCTGGGCTACAAAGTGAGCTCAAGACCAGCCTGAACTGCGTAGCGAGACCTTGTCTCAAAAAGAAAAAAATAAATAACTAAATAAAGACAGGGTCTCTCACTTTAGTGCCCAGGCTGGCTTCAAACTCCTGGGCTCAAGTGTTTCTACTGTCTCAGCCTCTGGAAGAGCCAGGAGTACAGGCATGCAGCTCCCATCTTTTAAAACTTGATTTTTCTTGACAAATGAATTTTTTATATATAGTATTATGAAAACATAATTATACATGTTACATAATTATAAACAGGTTTTATAACTTTTTCATCATCTGTGGCCCTCCTGGTGCGCTCTGTGAACTCCTTGTTGCATTTTTGTCTTCATCCGTAGCTGCGTATTCCTCCTTTCTCTGTCCTCTCACTTTGTCCTAATGCAAGTCTGCTTGGTCAGTTCTGATAAAACAGTGAGAAAGTCACTCATCTTCATGGTTTGCACTATAAAAATAGCTGAGCTAATTGAAGTTTTTACTCAGTAAGTCTTGGATTTGTTATTCTTAGAAAAGTTGTCTAAGGATTTCATTTAGGATCTCGTTAATATCATAGACTAGACTCATACATATTACAATAACAAAATAATTGATAGTTTTGAAAGAAAATACCACATTTGGCATTTTGTGTGTGTAAACCCCATAAAACTTTGCTTTAAAAAGAGCTTAGAAAATGAACTATAACCTTTGGGGGGCTTACTTCCATCATTTATTAAAGTAGTTTGAGAAAATTGTATTCTCATGTTTATTAGCATAGAAGGAATAAACTGACTTGTCCTATGGTGAACAGATAACAGAAATATTGAAGTAGATCAGGAGGCAATGAAATGAAAATGTCTCTAAGATTTATTATTATGTATGGAAAAGAAAGCGCATTTTTTAAAAAGATCAGTGTGGACAAGACAGTATTAACCATTCAGTGTGGTTTCTTAAAACGTGTATATGCTTTTGGATGCCCAGTATTCTACTTTTAAAAAGCTGGGCTGGGCGCCTCTCAGCAGGAAAGCGTTTGCCTGCCGCTTCAAGGCCCTGGCTCGGTGCTCAGCACCGGGAAGCAGTCCCAGCAGTGTTGAGAGGTATTTTCACTCGCTGCCGGGTGAGCTGTTGTAGACTGTGTAGTGCAGCAAGTGCATTTATTAATGTGAGCAGTTGGTACTGGGTTATGGTCGCTTTTTTAATAAACTCATAAGGATTAATATAGTGCTGATTTATAATGTGATTGTAAGTAACCTCGTACCCCTTCCTAGGCTGAGGGAAATAGAAGAGCGGCTACATGGGTTGAAGGCATCGTCCATGACACAAACCCCTGCCTTAAAATTTAAGGTAAGGAACAGCGATCATTTCTTCGTTCTCTAGGCAGTTAAATGTTTCTGGTGCACATGCAGGTGTAATTGTGAATAGTTATAGAATACAGACTTGTGTTGGACACAGTTGTTTCCTGGGTTCTACAAAGAAAAGAATGGAGAAGACAGTCCCCAACCCTCAGAATACAGAACACAGTATCCTTAGTGCACTTGCATTGTACACAATGATACATGCATGGGAGAAGAAGGTTTTAATTTTGCCTGGAAAGTTTACAGGGAATGACGTCTGTACATGATCTCAATAGATTAGATTTTGCAAAGCAAAAGAATGGAGAAATGTTATTCTGTATAAAAGGAACAGTACAGGGCTGGGATATAGCTCAGTGGCACAAGCGCCTGCCTAGCAAGCGCAAGGTCCTGAGTTCAATTCCCGGTACCAAAAACAAAAAAATAAATAAATAAATAAATAAATAAATAAATAAAATAAATAAAAGGAACAGTACAAAGGTGTGCTGGGCGTGGCAGCGCATGCCTGTAATCCCGGCACTCAGGAGGCTGAGGGTACCAGGCTGAGGGTACCAGCTAATTGGGAGGAGTGGGAAGGAAAGTAGAGACAAATATGGGAAGTGTTTACTACTTAGAATTAATAAACCTTAGTGACCAGCAGTGAGAAAATAAGAGTGGAAGGAAGTCAGCAATGATTTCAGGGATAGAAAACTGCATGTCAGTCCCTGAAAGTGTAGGAGAAAAACCCAAGGCAGATTGGCAGGGTTGGTTTGGCTGGAATCTTCAGGACTCGGCAGTAAGGAAATTCCATCCGAGATGAGCTGTGGGAAGTTGCAGAGTTTTTGAGCATCAAAGTCACCTGCTGGAAACAGTGATTTGGGGGAAATACAAGGCGGCAGAGAGCTGTGGACACTGACTGGACTGCTGGAAGGGGCACACCCTGAAGGTGAACGCAGATGGCTTGCGTGCAGTAGTAGGCAGAAGACGCCCTCGGCTGTCTAACATTCATCTCTTGGTGCACTGTTACCTTTCCTTGAAATGTGTCTCCCACGTCACGTGAACTGTGGAGATCCTGTCCTGCTTTTGCCGGCCGCTGCAAACACTGCCTCCTCTGTTCTGTCTTACTCTCCCATCTTCCCTCAGCATTGTAAACTTGGGGTGCAGAAGCTGTGCCTTCCTGGAGCTGACTGGTCTGCCCATCGCAGCACCGAGCGCAGTCATGCAGAGCGGTGGCTCAGGAGACCTTCGATCACTGCAGAGCACATGCACAACCAAACGCTCTTCCCTTTTCACTCAGTAATGAAATTCCTCCTGAAAATAGATTTCTAGAACGCTCAGTAGTCGCCATATAATTAACAAGTAATGCAGTTACCATTTGGACAAAGCTTATTAAAAAGAAATGTACTCAGAGACAGTCATTTGTATTTTACAACATCTTCTGCCAAAATTTCTTGAAAATAACGCTCCACCATTTTTTAAATGTAGGATGGCTTTGTCATTTTAGGTTGAAAATTTCTTCTGTATGGGATCCCCACTCGCAGTTTTTTTGGCATTGCGTGGCATCCGCCCAGGAAACACTGGAAGTCAAGACCATATTTTACCTAGAGAGATTTGTAACCGCTTACTAAATATTTTTCATCCTACAGATCCAGTGGTGAGTTGCATTGCAGACTTTTTACCCCTCAGTATTAGATTGTTCCTAAAAGAATCCAACAGAGAAACTTGCCAGGTACCACTGAATTAATAACAACAAAAACAAAAGTTCCCTTTTCTCGCTTGCTTGCAGGATGTTATAGTCTTAAAACGTTGTGTTTTAGTTTAGCCAGGGTTCATGCAATAAAGTACCTTAGAGATAATCTGTAATGTGAAACCTCAATATAAAAGTACTATTCTGGGGGCTGGGGATTTAGCTCAGCGGCATAGCGCCTGCCTGGCAAGCGCAAGGTCGTGAGTTCAATTCCTGGTACTGGAAGAAAAACAAAAAACAAACAAAAATATTATTCTGGACAATTAGTACAAGACACAGGAGCCTACTACACTCTCAGACTTTATCCAGTTGTTATACCAATAACTAAGTAACCATAAATCTTAAAAATCCTGCTTACTTTTTTCTAAAGCATACTACAGTGTTGAAATGTGTTTGACCATCTTGAAAACGTGCAAGTACTATGTATGACTGTGAGAGGCAAGTACTATGAGAAGGTGGCACTGTTCATTTTGATCTACTTGAAGTGTAAAATAATCGGGTTTTTTTCCATTCTCTGTTAAATTTGTGTTGTAAATAATGTTCTTTAATGTCAGTCCTCCAAAGATCTTATGTGCAGGTAAATGGTGTATACCAAAGAAGTTTTTTTAGAGAAGAAAAACACAGTCTGGAGATGTAGCTCAGTGGTAGGGTGCATGCTTAGCATGTAGCAGGCCCCAGGTTTGAGCCTCAGCACCACCCCCGAAAAAAGTTCCCCTTACTCCTCTTGAGGGCAAGCCTAACTGTATCTAAACAGTAAAACAAACTATTTTAAATATTATTTATTCTCAGAAAATTAGCTTAATTGTGCAGTTTTCTAAAAGATCTTTAATACTAAGTAACCTCAACATGATTGAATTTTAGAAAATCGCCCATATGGTGAAGTCTCGCAGCTGTCATAGTTTAAGAAATAAAGTTCAACTGGAACTGAAGAACTAGAAATGATCTTCAACTACAGTTGCAACTGGAATCTAATGTTAGACTCAAATACGGACTGCATGATCTAGGCCAGTCACTTCTGAGGTGTATCTTACCTACGTAACGTGGATAGTATTTCACCTTACAGGGTTATTCAGATTGAGTAAAATATATGTGGAAAACCTTGCTACACAGTAAGCATTTCATTAATACATGTTCATTTTACCCATTCTCTCAGAACTTGAAAGTGAAGGGGCTGGGGTTTAGCTCAGCGGCACAGTGCCTGCCTGGCAAGCGCAACATTGTGAGTTCAGTTCCCGGCACTGGAAAAAAAACAAACAAAAAAAAGAACTTGAAAATGAACTTGTCTTTGGTTTGTACGTTTGATTTTTGGGTGCTGGGGATGGAACCCAGGGCCTCACATGTGCTAAGCATGTGTTCTACTGAGCTACCCCCAGTCCTCTGAGTTCTGTTAATATTTTTTAATATTTTGTCCCAGCAGTGGTAGACAGTTTTCACAAACATTACCTGTTGTTTTTCATACCTATAAAGGAGGAAGGTGCCTCCTTTCTACGGCCAGAGTATGAACTGTTCTGCTTTATTGTACCTACTTCACATGAAACAGATGGTCTTTTGTTGGCTGTTGCTATGTTAATCTGTTTGAAAATTGAGTTTAGGCTGGTGTGGTGGCGCACGCCTGTAATCCCAGCACTCAGGAGGCTGAGGCAGGGGCATCACTGTGAATTTGAGGTCAGCCTGGACAACATACCAAGACTGTCTTAAGGAGGCAAGGGAGGCAGGGAAGGAGGGAGGCTGAGTTTAATGAGACACTCTAAAATGTTACAAATTAACCTTATTTGCTGTGTTCCAGATTACAGTTTAACTGTGACAGCTTTGGGAGGTGGACATAAACCTGTTGCAGGAGGTCAAAATGTAATAAAAATCAGTCTGTTTCTGGGAAAAATAAATAGACACAATTGGTCTGGACTAACTCATTTTTTAAAATCTCATTAAAGATCTGTAATTAGACCAACCACATATTAACAATCAATAAGTACAAATACATGTTCCAAGTACATACCCATTTTTAAAAATTCTCTGAGGTCTACTTAGTATGCAGTAGAAAAATAATAACCACTTTAGTAAAATCCAGGCGCTAGGCATTAATGTAGTATTTCTTTGAATTTTTTTATGTTAAGGCTTACAGATTAGAACCATTGATATTGAAACACTACAGCAACATTTCACCTGTCCAGATCCACTGGTACAACACTTCCAACCCTCTACCTTACGAACATATGAAGCCAAGCTTTCTCAACCCCGCCAAAGAACCTACCTCAGTTTCAGAGAATGAAGGCATCTCAACCATCCCCAGCCCAGTGACCTCACCGGTCCTGTCCCGCCGACACTACGGAGAATCTATTACTAATATCGGCAAAGCCAGCATATTGGGTAATTTCCTTTGCGTGTTCCTTATCGACGGGCGGAAACATTTTTGGTACGGATATGAAATTTGAGGGACTTGAAAATACTCTACAGTTAACCTCCAAGAAGGAAGTGCCCTGTGGCTGCATATTTGAGGAGCAAAAGCTCTGAGTTCTCAGATTCGAGCAGATCGTGCAGTTTTTAGGATATTAAATAGCTGGATGGGCAAAAAGAGCACTGTTGGGAGAGGCAAGCTCTGCGCTTCCGTCTTCACCCTCCAGCTCCTGGGGAAACTGGAGCAAGTGCTGGAGTTTCACGGCTGCAGCCCCTGCTCTGTGAAAGGAGCAGGTGCGGAGTGTCCATGACAGCCGTTCTCCGACCTGCTGTGTGTCTTGCGAACTGTGTGCCTCCTGAGGGCAGCAAAGATGTTTAATTTCTCTTTGAATGATCTCCAGTGTCAGCACCGCGTTTAGTGTCTCACTGGAAGGAGCTCAGTTTGGTGCCCTTAGAATTTGTCTCTTGCTTCTGGTTACAAGTTGCCTTAATAGAAAGCGCCACAAGATGGCACTAGAGCTAGGCTTTCGCTGCGGGACTGCTGTTCCATCAGACTCAGCGCGCGGATGGCTTTTTGTGACTTACACCCTTTAGTTCAGAAGTAAGTCTGTCGGTAGTGGTTCTCTTACTAAAGGTTTTAATTTTGCCGGATATTTTAATAACAATAATGACTTGAATAGAGTACATGTATTCCTTGGTGTGTATATTCGAGGCCTAGACTTCATACAACTCTCCTTTTCAACACCATTTTTATTTAGAAACCTGCAGCATAAATTGTAATTTTCTTAGGTCCCCACCCTGGAAAACACGGCTGGGGCTGCTGCCTCCGCCGGCCGCCGTAATTACGGGCGGTGCTCCCAGCCCGGTGCGCGGCGCGACTCCGCAGAATGACGCCCCTGTTTTGTGGCCCGCAGGGGCTGCGAGCATCGGGAAGGGGCTCGGAGGAATGCTCTTCTCCAGATTCGGACGCTCGGCGGCGCCGCAGCCATCGGAGACGGCCAAGGACCCGGCGGAGGACGAGAAGAAGCCCGCTGCCGCGCCGCCCACCGCCACGGTGGCCACGCAGACGCTTCCCCACAGCGGCTCCGGCTTCCTGGACTCCGCATGTCAGTTCCCGCCTTCTTCCCTGGGCTTTCGCTGTTGGCCTCTGAGACCTTGAGGAGGGTGGAGAGCTTAGGGCATTAGCGTGGCAGTCAGCTCTCAGATCTAAAACAGACTAGCTTTTAAAGAAAAGTTACCTTCTTCCACTTAAGTTTAAGAATACTTTCCAGGTAAATGCAATTCCAGTTTCTGCACTGGTGATTAGTAATAGTTAGATCATTAATAATCAGGACCTTCTGGCACAAGGGTCTAACATAGCAAGCAAAAACAAATCTCTTTGGGGTAGGTACCCGTTGATTTATTTTTCTTTGCAGTACGGGGGATTAAACCCATGGCCTTTGCACTGAGCTGTATCCCTAGCCCTTTTTGATTTTTTATTTTGAGACAGGCTCTCAATAAGTCTCTTTAAGTTGCCCAGGTTGGGCTCCAACTTGTACTTTTCCTGCTTCAGCCTCCTAGAGTGCTGGGATTACAGGCATGTGCCACCACACCCAGCTATGCTGATTTTTATGAATTACAGTTTTACTAATAAATACTAATATGACCTCAGTATTAAAAGTTCATGTAATCGCTGAGCTCTCCCCTATCTGATGTTGAGAATTCTTATGCCCAAGCCATGCTGCCGCTGATTCCACAGCACCCCTCCGCCAGCGTAGTTAGAAGACCCTCAAAGCTCAGCGGGGTTACTAGATCCACTGTGCCGCCCCCCGTCTGACCCCAGCTGCCTGGTATAAACGAGGATTCCAGAAATGAGCGCGCACAGGGCTGTGTTGGACTTTGCACTGGAAACGTCTTCGATTCTTTCCAGTGGATTTACAAAGTTTAAAATCTTGAATAGCTGAGAGATACTAACACGCTTGGAATATATTAACTTCCAAGAGTTTACGCTTGGAAGCTTGGACTTTAAGTGTTGAGTGAAATAAAACTAGTACAAGTCCTACTTTTCATTGACGTGGAAGAGGAAGTAGAGATTTGAAACTACTACCTTTATGTAACAAGAGGGAAACTTTGCTTTCTCTCTCTACAGAATTTTAAGCGTTTCAGTTACTTGCAGCATTGTATTCTCACTGTGTCTGCTGCTCTGACTTGTGTTCAGCATCCATGGCCGTTCATAAATCTCAGACTAGCAACAAAGCAAACAGAAACCACTTAGGTGAGCTCAGGCGGAGCAGCTCTCGAGGCTGGCACCTCCTCTGCAGGCAGCCACTGCGGGGCGAGTTACTGGTAAGGTTAGACCTTCCGGATTGGACCAACAGCAGTTTTTCATGTTACTGCGCACTGAAAATTTTATGATGACCTTTTGAACACTGTCTAGAAAACTCTTCTTAGACTTTGTATCAAACTCATATTTTAGTTTTTCTGAAAGAGTTTCTGTAGTATTCCTGACTCAGGTTCTCATTTTTACTTAACATTAAAAACATAGTTGTTGGGGCTGGGGACTTAGCTCAGCGGCACAGCGCCTGCCTGGCAAGCAGGAGGTCATGAGTTCAATTCCCAGTACCAGAAAAAAAAAAAAAAAAAAAAAAAATAGTTATGAAAGTATAAAGGTCTATTGGGACTTGCAGATGTTAAAAAGAAAGCTCTAACGTATGAGAAAAATTAACTCCAGAGAATTTTGTGGGATGGCAGTTGAAAAGTCACAGTTCTTTGTAACTTTGGTAACACACAACACCCCTGCTAGTAAACATTAGTGTGCAAGAGGGCCAGGTGCCGCGGTGCATAATCCCAGCAGTCTGGGAGGCTGAGGCAGGATTGAAAGTTGCACATTCCCGCCCAGCCGGGGCAGCTTAGCAAGGCCCTGTCTCAGGCTCAGGGCTAGGGGTGTAGCAAGCACTCACTGGGCTCAGTCCTCAGTACTTGGGGGTGTGAGTTAGAGGAAACAGTGAGAATCAAACTCCAGAAAAAGTAATTAAAGTACAGAATCTGAGGGAAGAAGCCTGTTTTAGTTAGTTTACTTCTTAAAATATTCCAAAATGATAATGGGAAACCTGTTTCTTCCGCAACAGTACAGGTACCTAGCTTAGCAAAACACATATTCTGTCATTCTTACTGATCAGTTCTTCGCTGCTTCCAGTGGTAAATTTCTTATCAGCTAAATCTGAGGTAGTCATGAGTCTTAGTTCCAAATTTTCATCTCTAGTTACAAATGTAACTATTAAAATGGAATAACTACCACAGTAGGATTCTGCCTTGTAAGACGCGCGCCAAACTTGGCCTTACTAATTCTCTGACTTGCTTCAATTACATGTTCTTCCTTGTAATCCTGAATTCAACAGATTGCTTGCATCATAATTGCTGTCTTGGCTTTATCTTGCAAATCTGAAAACTTTTCTTCCTGAAATCTCTGGAATTTGGTTGTAGTGGTGAGATGACTGGCTCCTTTTCTTCTTAGCTGGCCCGTCTCGGTGCTCCTGGTTAGCCTGCATCCTGAAACTTTCATCCTTTTGTGCCTTCACCCATATCTGAATTGTGATCAGGTGGGGTTTCTCTCTTCAAAGAGTGTTCTCAGCACAAATGTTATCATGATCAAATTGACGTGTTTTCTTCACTTGCTTTGAAAAATACAGGCTTCTCCTCAGGGGTTTTACATTTCTGTACCCCCTGTGTTTGTACCGTATTATGAAAGGAAAGATGTTTCTTCCAGCATTGTTTGCCTCTAGATGAAAACCCAAACTAGCTATAAATTTGGAGAATGTGTAGGATTAAAGACTGTATTTCAAAGTTAATTATGCTTACACTTCTCCCTGAGATAACGTCCCACAAAAACACAGGGGTATACTCCTTAGGTATGGTAGGCTTAATGAGCTTGTTTGAAATACCGTTCTAACTTCCGGCACTGCGACAGTGAACGCCATTTTTAAACCATCTGCCACATTTTACAGTATCTTATGTTTTGTTTTGTTTTTTTCACAGATTTCAGACTTCAAGAATCATTCTTTAATCTCCCACAACTTCTTTTTCCGGAAAATGTATTGCAGAATAAAGATAATCCCCTCGGTATGGTATATGTCAGGAATAGCACTCAGAACACTATGAAAATGATCTACTTAGAATTCTTCTGCTCACTGAAAAGTTGGATCAAATCTTCTGTGAGATCATCTTCGATGTTGCCAATGCAGACTGTTTTATATGTATTTTCTTCCTAATGTTTTCTAATCTTAAACGATAGTGTTCTTGAAACCTGAAAATTGATTAGCCACATAATGTGCTAAAATATACGCTATTCCTGTACACTTCTACAGAGAAGGAACCTTGTAGAGAGGAGAAAATGCAGTAGGTCAGTTTCTTTCTTCTTTACTGTCCTAAAGGCTTCAGAGAGGTTTTTTCGTAGATATAAAAGAATTTATTTTAGATATAAAAGAATTTCCAAGTGCAGATAATTTAATCATTTCTAGTTATTTCAGGTGTAAGAGTTAATTATTTCAGGTGTCAGAAACATGAACTCCTAATGTTAATTAGGAATATAATTACTCCATAGTTGATACCTAGTTCCAACACATATATTTGATGTAGTTTACAGGGGTAGATTTATTGGATTCAAGAAACGTTTTCCATCTCTTTAATTTTCACTGCGCTCTAAATGTATCACTAAGGACTAATCTTAACGTGTAAAAAAAATTTTTTTACAACTCATTTTTCCAGACTGCTATCTTTTCTCTCCTCTTTTCTTTTTAATATTAGATTTTCGTCTCTGATTTTTAAAAAAATGTTGCAAGGCTTTCTTTGGATATTTTACAGTTTGATTATTAATTTTCTTAAGTTTGTTCAATTGTCAAGAAAATATTACATGCTGCAAAGTTCCAAAACAGTGCAACAAGCATTTTTGTTGTGTTTTTTGTTTCATAGCAACAGTTTGTATTGACCTAACTCAGTGAATTTCCCTCAAGGAATGATCTTATGTAATCATCTCTTTCTCTGGTCCTTGTCCTGTAATAGCCAGTCACTTCCAAATTTTATGAATGCTTTTTGTATTTTTATTTGATAGAAGGAAAATTAGTCTACTCATTTATTTGTCCCGTAGGCAGTAAGCCCTTATTTCTCAAAACCATCACAATTATCCAGGCACTTAGACCACTAATCATATGTACACCAGACAGACTCAGGTGGTAAAATCAATATGGCTTTCACTCATTCAACAGCTATGAAATATTTATTGTGAGCCGAGACACCATGGTATCACTAGCAAAGATGCCAACGTGAAGCAAGCTTCAGTACTGCTCACACAGATACTAAGTGCTGGTATGAAAGTGAATTTCTGTAGAGAGCATGTGTTCTAGTAGGGAGGGCAAATCTTTACATAATCATACATGGTGCCATGTGATGAGCCACAAGCAGAGGTTCAGATGAAAGGACTTTGTCAATTTCCAGGAATGAGAAATGGCTTCCCTGGAGAAGGCCTGGAAGGCTTTATGGAAGAAGCAGGAATAAAAAGGCCTTGCAGGGAGACCAAACAGCATGGGCGGAACCACAGAGAGGGCAGCACGGGTGTATAGAGAGCTCACAGTCCGTTTTCCTGAGAACCGCGGCTGAGTGGAAAGGTAGTTGTGAATGCAGTTGGAAAAGTCGGTCCGCTAGACTGTGGAAGACCCAACAGATCTGGCCGCTTCCTGGAGTTTTCCGTGTGCACAACTTGGCCCACCTAGCTGCTCTCATCAGCTGTTAGGAATTTGCATCCCTTCCAGGATAAATACCTTTTGAGAGAAATTTTTTGACAGAAATGACAACTAGATTTTAAAGCTGTGTGGAACCAAATATCATGCAGTTATAACCATAATTAATTTACAAATAGGACACCTTTATCAGTGTGTTTTTGAAAATATCCAGGAGCGTTGAGGTGCTCCCGTTGAACGGTAGAGGCGCGTGCAGTGAGTGTGCGCTGTAGTACAGAGGCTTTCCGTCCGTTGGAGTTGTTTGCAGTACCGTTCCACGCTGACAAACCTTGTGCACACGAGACCGTAATGAAGGGGCAGTACCGATGACGCGTACCTTCGTGGTGTGGAGACGGTGGGCAGTCTGTCTGATTTGGGGGTTGCGGACAGTAACATGCCAGTATGAGAGACCTCCCAGGGAGAAAATACTCCCATGTTTTAAAAAACACCAGCAAAGAGCCGCTGATGCTTTGCAATCACGGTTTCAGTCTCAGTGTTACTTCTCTTCACCTGTTGAAGCACCTGGTTCTTTTTTTGTTGGTAGTGTTCTCACACTTAGGCATTCAAAGGAGAGAGAGCAGAGGAAAAGGTGATTTTGCTTTTCCTTTCCCTCAGACCTAAGTCCGTGAGGAAACCTAGGGGAAGGACCAGCCTGCGTGGAGCCACCCACTCTAGGTGTGGCCTTCGTGGGGAGCCTGGCTGAGGTAACTGCGAGGGCACGGGAGCTCGCCTGGGCCGGGAGCAGCCCGTGGAGAGCGGTGCTGCCGTGCAGAGCCAGACTGGGGCCTTCTGTGGCCCACATAGAAGGGAGAGAGGAGAGACCCGCCCCCGCCGAGCTCTGTCTGTCTGCCCGCGTGCCCAGCACTGACGTGAGGTGACTGCACTCACGGGCAGGCTCTTGGGGGAAAGCGTTTAAGACAGACGAGAGACCAGCGCAGGCCCCGGGCACAGGTTAGCCAGGCAGTGCATGCGCTGGCTGACGTCCCCGTGAGGCAGGAGTGGGGCGCACGCCCGTAATCCCGGCTACGCCGAGGCTGTGGCGGGAAGATGGAAACTCAAGGCCAGCCTGGGCAGCTTACCATGACCCCTGCCTCAGAACAACAAGAGAAGCAGATACCGCTCAGCGCTAGAGCACATGCCTAGCACGCACCAGGCTGTGCTGCAAAAACATAAAATAAGAAATTCCCTGTCTAACGTAAGACTTTGGACGAGGAAGGCGTGCAGCAACCCTTGTGCGTGAGTTCTTCGAAATCATAACTTGGTGGTCTTTGCCAGTCTTGAAACACGTCTGCCACCTTTCCTGGCTCATCTTTTCTCTTCATGACCGACTTCTTGTTGACTCACGTTCATCGAGCGTGAGCCCCCTGGTTCCTCTTGTGCCGCCGTCCCGTCGTGCAGCACAGCATGCCCGCAGCTCTCACACGCCCAGGGCCGCGGAAGGCAGGCCGCGGCGCCCCTGATTTCTGCGCTTTCTGGCCTCTTACGGGTTAGCTTACGTTAGTTACAGAAAGTACTCACAGCTTTAAACACTTTTCAAAAAGCTTGTGTCGTATTTCAAGTATGTTTTAGCCTCAGTGGTATTTATACCTCAAGTGTAAACCTCCAAACATGTACAGATAAATACATAAACCTGTCTTGTCATAAAAAGCATAATTGAATAGAAAACAATTGTGTAAGCATTTTCAAGTAACTGAATAGTGTTATCACAAAGTACCTGTTTAAAATAAGCATTTATGGGGCCAGGGATATAGCTCAGCGGCACAGCACCTGCCTGGCAAGCGCGAGGCGCTGAGTTCGATTCCCAGTACCAAAAAATAAATAAATAAGCATTTACATTAGGTTGCTTCCTAGGGTCCTACAACTTCCTCTGTGTCACTGTCAGATTCCCAGTGTAAAGCAAACCCACCTTTTCCCTGAGCTTTCTTGATTTCTGCCCATTTCTAACTTTGACATCCTCTGACACTGAATGAAGAGCAGACTTTTAAGCAGCTCAGTGGTAGAGCATTTGTCTAGCATGCCTAAACCTCTGGCTTCAGTCTCCAGCACCACTGAAAAAACAGAAAGGAATTAGGAAATCATTTCCATTAGCAAAATTTTTATTCTCAAGTGTAAGAAGTCTGTTGAATACATCTTATTGTAATCTTTATTCACCTACGTTCTTTTCTTTTTAGTGGAATTGGACCACAGGATCGATTTTGAACTCAGAGAAGGCCTCGTGGAGAGCCGCTATTGGTCAGCCGTCACATCGCATACTGCCTATTGGTCGTCCTTGGATGTCGCCCTCTTCCTGTTAACCTTCATGTACAAACAAGAGCAGGAGGATGATGCAAAGCCCAGTTTAGAGCCAGTCTGAATTCTTGAAGGACATTAATGGCCCAAAACTATTTTTGTTTTTCCATTCAAATGTGTATGTCAAGATACGGACATTTCAGGACTAAGTACTGTATGTTCCCATTTTGTTTAGGGCAAGAAATATTTGAATTTAAAAGCACTTTATTTTCTCCATCCTAAAGAAGTTACAGTGTCCATCATTTTGATTATGAGTCTAACAGGACCCCCTGCAAAGAATCAAGCAAGACTTGCAAGTGAAGAAAGTTTGGGTGAAGAAAACAGAAAAGTCATAAATCACAATGTCATTTCTCCAAAATAGAAAGGCACATTAATGAGTTCAAACTAATATATTAACCAAAAGATGTTAAAAAATCTAAAATGTTCAGAGTCAGGTCTATTCTATGTACAGTTACAAGGCAGTATCATTGTTTCAGATTTCTGTGAAAGCTTCCACAATTTCTGTGAAAGGATATAACATAGAAAATGTTTTAGGTTTAACCTGTTTAGAAAAACTAATGCTAAAAAAAATTTGAACTACTGTATTTATAATTTATTACCTCTGAGTAATTGCTTTCTTTCAACGTACGAAACATTACATTTTCTTAATGTTTCCTTTGAAAATAATTTAAGAACCACATTTATTTTCTGTAGTGTTGAGACCTTTTTTCTCAGAACTCCATCTTTGTACTCTTCCGAGGAATATCTAGACACTGTGGCATACTTTATTTTTTTCATTAAAACTTGTAGTTTCACACAACCCCAGTTCAATTTTTTTTTTTTTAAGAACTTTTATTATGTCACGTGTACCTCAGAGAAAGCAGAGGTTTTTCTAAACTCGACAGGGTCCTTCACTTGGGGTACATTTCATTAACTTGATTCGAAAATGAGTAAGTATCTTTGGCATGGGGATTATGACAGCTATTTCAAATGTGTCAACATTTGTGTGCCGAGTAGCTAAGACGTGGAGGGATGGAGCACCGCTAACAGACTTCAGTGTAGAAAACCACAGGGAGATACAGACAGAGGCATGGGGCCCGCAGCCCTGGCAGAGTTTTCGCAGCTGTAGGTGTCTCCGCATGCGTTTCGTCTGAGGAGCTCAGTGCTTTCAGAGGTGCACGCTGAGCGGCCTGTGTAGTAGCTCCCTGAGGTAAGTCAGTGAGTGTCATTTTCATGTTCCGCGTTAGTACACCAAGGCACCGGAACACGGAGTGCCTTGTTCGGCTGCATAGCAAATGACAAAAGCTGAAACTGAAGCCACACTTAATTCTTCTGCGTGCTATTCAGTGACTCACACTTCGCCTGTACCCTCTTAGTAGTAGTTTGCAGAGAGTAACATAAGTTATAGCAGTGACCGTAAAGCAAATGTGTGATCGTCCGTCTTCATTCTCAGGTTCGGGCACCCACAGGAGAGGCTCCCTAGTAGCCGTCGCTGCCACGGCCATTCCGAGTGGCGTCCGCTAGGTTCCACTCACGGTGCTGTCTTTACTTCCCGTCACTCTGCAGTGATAATTATCAACAAGGGGCAAAGCTGCTCAGTCACACATCTCACCTCTCTTTATAAGACGGCAGAGATTGACTGCGGAGTAGGATCGTAGGTTTTACATCAGTGCTGCTGACTGTTTGGACCTTCCATTGAATCCGCACCACATAAAGCACTTTGTTTGGGGCTGGGGATTTAGCTCAGCGGCAAAGCGCCTGCCTGGCAAGCGCAAGGTTATGAGTTCGGTTCCCGGTACCGGAGAAAAACCAAAAAAAAAAAAAAAAAGCACTTTGTTTTAGTGTTTTTAAAAAATCCCAAAGTCCCATGCTAAGTATGTAACTCATGAAGAAACCCATGCTGTCAGTGGCATTTGATGAGACCTTAGCAAAAGCTGAAGAAGAAATCTCTTGAATTTAGAGATTCCTATGAACTCAGGTCATTTTCATAGCCCATTAATTTTCTGGGTCTAATTCAGTTCTCAGGAAAATCGAACCCACGTCCTGTGACTGTCATTAAAGGTACTTGAGCCTGCGTTGCTCTAGGTGGTGTGACGCTCAGACGTGTAAGAGCTTTAAGAGATTCCTTCTTAGCCACTGGAATGTGGAGAGCCCACTTTACCTTAAAAGACTGAGATTCTATCAAACATTTTCATTTGCTATTGAGTCAAAACAAAAACGTGTTCCCATAGGCACAGGACTATGTCTTCGTCCTTTTCTTCCTACTGAGAAAACAGGTTTCGCCACTTGGAGTTTATTTGAATTCTCGGAAAGTGCAACGTTCAAAACGCCCTTTTCAAAATAGATGTTCTGGACCACGGGACAGGTGTTTTGTCTTCAGTTCATTATTTCATCAATACAGATGGTGATTTCGGTTTTATAGTACTCTCAATTCCGTGTTTCTGCATGTTATCATGGGATGTACTTGTATGTACTCAAGTAATATACAGAGTATGTGTAATTCTGGCTTGATTTAGAAGCTAAGTCAGTTACTAAGTAACATTTTACAACTTTATTCCAGCAAGTACTAAATTGGTTCCAAAAAGTTCTGTTTTTGATACTATTAAAGTTTTATTCTCTATTCTGCGTACATGCTATGATTCTCTTGAGTAACAGTCAGACCATTTGACCTTAATCCAGTTAAGTTCCCAAGAGTTATCGAAAGCGTAAGATTAAGTCTTGCTCTATTTTTCCTTTAAAATTAGCCTTTTCTTAAGGCTTCTTGTTCGGAAGTTCATTTTCTGCAGTAGTTTTGCTTTTCAATTCCATACTAATTTTAGGACATGATAGAAAAATAATAGTGGGTCTAATAACCACTCACCTGTATGTGAGTGGAGTCTTAGGAATCTGTTAGCTTTTGCACGAAAGGCCTCAGGCGTTAAACTTTGACCAATCTGTCTGCTGTGTCCGGGTTGGGCTGAGGCAGCCTCCTCTACAGCACGGCATTGGTTGCAGCCTCCGCTGCATAGGTTATATGCAGTTACTGTGCCATTTACTCCAGGGATGAGACTGGCCCCTTACAGTGGACTCAGCCCAAACCAAGAGACTTCTCTGTGAAGTCCATGGTACAAGAAGACCAGTGATCAAATTTCTTTCTGATCAGTGCGATTACTACTTTCGTCTTCCCAGGTACCAGTGAATAAGATGTACAGAAAACAGAGAAAACTAAAATCTTAAAATTGCTTTTGAATGATCCTACGTTGTTATGGAAATAAGACTGAAGGGGCTGGGGATTTAGCTCAGCGGCACAGCGCCTGCCTGGCAAGCGCAAGGTCATGAGTTCAATTCCCAGTACCGGGGGGAAAAAAACCAAAAAAAAAAAAAAAGACTGAAGAAGAAACATGAAATGCTAAAGGTCGAGGCAGCGTTAGAAAGAATGTAGCAATCACGTACAGGACTGGAAAAGGAAACTAGAATTTCACTAAGCTCAGTGTTGGGTAGTCTCTTCCTGTCGTTATTCTCCAGTGTGCACAGCTTGTCCGTACTCTGCTGTCCTCCCACGGCCGGGGCCACTGCTGGGAATCCGGTGCCCTGGCTGAACCTTGACACACCAGTCTATCTCAGAGGTCCCACTTAGTCCGTGTTGGTGCTAAGTGGTCACAGCCTGGGCTCTGTACCTCTTGTTTCACTCTTCGGGGGATGCTTGAAGTTTCGGAGTTGTGCACATGTAGAGGTCGTCTAGGCCAAGGAAGCATGTAAGTACCTGCACAGGTCACAAAGGGGAAAGCAAGGGTCTGCAGACTTGTGAACAACTAAACACAGGAGGGAAATGGTAGCATCTCTAAGGAAGAATGTTAACAGACTAAAGCATGGCCTGCAGATGTGAACAATGCCATGTCAGTAAGTGTGGGAAATGCCAAATTTTAAAGGTTCCTCTGGGAGCCAAATGCATTGCACATCTGTCTGGCCGGCTCAGGTTGGGGTGGGTTCCAAATTTAATCAGACAGTATTTTATTTGGAATATACTTAGATGCTGATTGCACTGAATTCCTCCCTCCTTCAGTTTCACCCCTTCCTGTGACGCCTTCATTTTACAAGTGTACCCCGACCCTGCAGGGTCAGCCATGACAGAGTCAAGTTACACCTCGGGCCGAGTCCCGGCTCTTTTACAGACCAATCACCTGTTTCCCCTGACAGGGAATTCCTAAAGCGCAGAGACTGCATCTTCATCTCTTCCCATATCCCACACATAAACCCATGGCTCTTGTGTTATGTGATGCTTTGCTTGTGACAAGCTGTTGACAGATGTCTGTGGGCTTGAGTTCTTCAGTTGATCTCCTTTGTTTTCGCAAATCATCATGAAAGAGCCCGACCAGATCCGAATAGACTTCCTTTCATGTCTCAGATTCTGAATCCAGAGGAGACAAATGCAGCAAGAAAGAAGGCGGGGGGGTGGGGGGAGAACAGTACCCAGGAAAGACTTTATTAGCATTCCAGTTTAATGACAAACGAACTTGAAACACATTGCAGTGTTGTTTATTCCTTCCCTTCCATTGTGTTTATACGTTGACCTCTTAGACTCCTAACAGTGGGTCACTTCAAAACTACTCCAACACAGGTTAATTCATGGAAATTTTAACTTTTAACTGCTTTACTACTTAGAGACCAGGAGAAGAATTATTGCTAGCAGGGTGGGTGTGTGTGAGTTTCCCAAAAATAGTCCCTTGGCAGATTGCTAGCACAAACTTTCCTCTGCCTTTGTGTTGGAACAGGGCGTGTATGCGCTTAGTATTGTCCATCGCCTTATGATTTTTCACTTATATCTAACAGAGTGCAACTTGCTTCCTCCACACCCAGCAGTTGTCAGGATATGTGGGGAAATATTCCTGAGAAAGATTACATCTGGCCACTCTTGAGGTAGGAATGAAAAACAGAGTCACTCCTCAGTGTTCGTGGGGAGCTGGTTCCAGCATATTCTGCAGACACCAAAATCTGCAGCTGTTATATAAATGGCATAATAATTGCATATAACCTATGCAGTCACTGGTATATTTGAGATCATCTCTAGATTACTTATCATACCTAACTGCTATGTAAATAGCTGTTACATGGTATTGGATAGGAAATAATGACCCAAAAAACCTGTGAACATTCAGTGCAGATGCATCATTTTTTCCCGTATTTTCCATGCTCAGGTGCCTGGGTCCGTGCAGACCCTATGGACACAGAGGCCGACTGTAGCTTAGTCACCTTTTGTCCTTTGCCCTAGAAGATGCAGAATATCCAGCAGCGTCGCTCACACCTTCCCTTGACTTCACCTACAGTCTCTGTTGTCTGCTTTTCCTATGAAAATATTATTTTACTGAAGCTCCTATTACTTTTGTTCTATCTCCACAGTGATCAGCTTGAATGGCAAAACAAAAAAGAAAAATTCAAAACTTTCCCACTAGTATTGTGGAGTTCTGATTATTTTCTCAACTGGAACTGGTGCATTTACATTTAATAATAAAAGTTCCTGAAGATTGAAAGATGGTAAAATCTACCTGTTGATGATGTGGTATTTGGTGACAGTGTCTCAGTATGGAGTCCATGCGGGGCTCGAACTCGCAGTCCTCTTGCCTCGCCCTTCTGAGTACTGATTATAGATGAGTGCCGCCACACGCAGCTTAAGCTGTCGCTTTCAAACCTTGAGTATAATCCGTTCACAACATTAGCCGGGCGTTCCAGAGAGAACCATAGTGCCCATGTCTTCAGCCAAACCCAAGAACCCGTGCAGGTGGAAACCAGCCTCTACTATGCTCCCTGCCCTTCAGCTGGCAGCAATGTGGCTAAGTTTTAGATATATGCAAGAGTCCATCAATTTTAGTACTGGACAAAAGTAATCCTGGTAACCTTGATTTTACATTTGGAAGTAAATGTGAGGGAAAAAGAGATGGGTGTGTGGCCCTGACCGTCTTAACAACTTGGAGATTGATCTGAAAAAGCCCAAAGACCATATTTCTGAGAAGCGGACCAGGGCCACAGGGGCCCGACCCCAACATTCCCTCGCTCAAGCCCTTTGATAACTTTATCGACCGATCCAGGCTCCCTGCAGCTTAGCCAAGCCTGCCTCACCTTCCACTGCCTGTCTTCAGCAATCTAATTCTGAGGTCTTTTTTTTTTTTTTTTTTTTTTTGGTTTTTCTCTGGTACCGGGAACCGAACTCATGACCTTGCGCTTGCCAGGCAGGCGCTTTGCCACTGAGCTAAATCCCCAGCCCCTAGCAATCTAATTCTGGCACAGAAAACAACATGTCCCTAAAAATGCTAGCATTTAGTTAATGCAGTGGCTGCCTGGCGCCCTTTTTCCCCTCCTGGGGATCCTCCCCTCTCTCGGGCAGCACTGCACGATCCCTACCCACTCCCTGTAGTTCTAATGGGAACCAGAAAATCCTCTGGAAGCCTTTCTCTATCCTGGTTAACGTTATTTCTGCTTTAAATGAATCCTGGTGAACATCAGCTCCCCGACCACCAGTGTCCAGCCCAGGGCTGGAAATGAGTTCATTACTCTGGTCAGACCTTATTTCCTGCCCCATAGGGCACGTGACTCACTGGAGACGGAGCAGAGCTCTTCCGTGGGTTTTATTCACCAGCCCCAAAGGCAGATAGCGGTGGCAGTTAAACGTGATCTGGAGGCGCATGGTGTGATAGGAAGAGAGCCGTCTGTGGCCGGACACTCCTCCCTGTGACATGAATTCCTGGAGAACAAGCCAGTGCCGCCCGCAGATGCCCAGTCGTTCTTTTATTTGCTTAAGCTGTTTTGAAACAAACCTCTGTCTCTTGGATCCAGAGGAGTTGGAGTTCATAACCATTAAACCAAAAATAACTTCTCCATCGCTGGTGGAACTGCCATGGAGGACAACGCCTTGCGAAGCCTTTCCTCAATCCTCTGGTTGCAGCGAATGCCCGTGAATTCCCCAGCGGGCTCATTTTGCCTTGTTTTAGCGTTGGACTACCTGTTTTCCCCTTGTTTGCATACGGTCTTTAAGGGTAGGGAGCATATCTGCATCATTTTCCACAGCCAAACACAATTAGTAGCTGTGGGAGCTGAGCAGACCGTGTATTTTGGTCACACCTTGTATAAGTCTGTCTGAACTGGCAAACAGAAGTGCAGCCTCCTGAAAAGGTTGATTTATTACCCTGTGCCAAACTAAAATTCCTAACACGGTATTTATAACTGCAGCCACTCCCCACAGGTGCCCCATAGTAACTCGGTGTCACTTTCCTCCGGGGACCCAAGCGTAGCTCCTTCCTGCCCTGTGCTGTCCCTAAGCGAGACAGTGTGTCACCTGGCCCTCCCTGTACCCTCGCTGTCCTCTCACCCTGCAGTATGTTCTACTTCTTTCCCATACACTGAACTTCTCTTTACTTTGAAGTCAGTAACCAGTGCACTTGTGTTTAAGAACCAGCATGGTCCTACGCCTTCCAGCTGCAAGACGGGGCCGGCAGGAAATGTGGATGGATCAATCCGTTTGCTTTTGTGAGGGACGCAACAATATTCTGTTGTGTTTTGCTTACAAGGAGGGGAATGTATTCCAAGTCTAAAATAAGTAGCCATTGACTCTGGGAATGCAGCTCTTTGGGAAACCGCAAGACGACCCGT